TTTTTGAAAAATTTAGAATAATGCTAGGGCTGTGTTGAGTTCAGTTTTGTTTATAAGTAAGAGGTCCCCCCCCCTTACATTTATTAATTAAGTTTTCATTAAGAGGGGGTGTTAGAGGTAATGAAACCTCATTTGAGAATACCTGCGTGTATGTGGAGTCGGGTAAAAAAAAAGGAAATACTTTGACTCCTATCAATTTCAAAATGTGGAACCAATATAAAATGTATAAGATTTTTGAATAAAATATTTAATAATTACTTCTCGGGCGTGAGTGTTTTCTTTCACCAGTTCCGGCAACTTATAGTACAACCTGCAAGAGCTAAACGGGTCACTACCACGGAATTTTCTTATCCAAGTACGCAGAAGCTGTGCAATAAACCTTTAGTATAAAGTTTTTGTTTCACTATCGTTTTCCTTACTAAACCCCGTGAATGGCACAATACATGGTCTCAGTACAGAGTACTAAAAATACCGACCTCAAAAGTACGTAGTGAAGTTTTATTGAAATGTCCCCTAGTTCGCCACTATACAGGACTTGACACAGGAGATAATAAAAATCGGTTCTCACTACTCAAAGTATATTGAGAGAGAAACGCCTTGAATTGGAGAATAGCAAAATTAACCATTAAAATAATTGCTCCTTATAATAAAATTTAGGCTCTATTTATAAAAATGAATCTTCATGCGTGAACAGCCACCCTTAAAAATGGATGATTTTCTTCAAAATGGGACCACTATGGAGGTACCCTCTTTCCAACAAAAAAAGAATCATGAAAATCAGTTCACAAATACCGGAGTTATCGCGTAACATACATACAAAAAAAGCATGAAGTCGAACTGAGGACCTCCTCCTATTTTCGAAGTCGGCTAATTAAATGAATTTGTGACTTGTGAATACGACTGACAAGAACAGCTGGTTTATTTTTATTCATCATATTAATGTTACATTTGTCGCTATTCTTAATAAAAAAAATTACTCGTGTAACTATTCGATGGTAACAATTGTCAATACCTAATACTAACAATAATGCTATTGGTTGTTGCAGTGATGAGGAAGACACATCGCGGCTGCTACGTCAGCTAAGCCGCATCAACCGGCCCTTCGCCGTCACTTTCCGCCAGATGATCAAACTAATGAGCCAGTGCCAACAGGTAATATCTTCAATGTTGATGAAATGACCCGTTTATGGTACGCTCTAGTGCTCTCGCATGATGTAATAAAGTTCCATTTAGTTCCTAAAACTAACCGCTTATAAAAATATTTTTTTTTTGTAAAAAATTAATAGATATTAATGTAGTTAGGAAAAATGTTCATCAAGTTCTTGCGATTAATTGTTGACGCAAAATTTACATTATTGACCAAGACTTTTTAGGTAATATGAACCATGTTTCTTTTGCTTTTCGCTCGCTTTTAAACTTGGTAAGATGGTTTTACGTCCTTCCTATCACGAAGTACCATAGTACTTAATTATACTCGTATATAGCGTGTTTTTTTTAAATGGGGCAGTATGGGGAAATCCGAAACTACAGGTAGTCCTGTATACAGGAAAAATGTCTGGACTATTAAATTATTTTTGTGAAACCAATTTTGGCATAGTCAATTTTTTAGTCAAGCGCGCGTTGTCCAATAAAATTAATTTTTTTTTTAGTGTTGATCGAATGGATGAAAAGTCGAGACTGCAGAAGTTGGTCAAATTTTATAAAATGTTTTTCGTACAAAAGGAATAAAATTGACAATTTTTTTTTACGCTGGTAGACTTCGTTTCACGTAAGCATCATTTTGTTGTATTGGAGGCAAAAATACGACCAAAAATTTTTTCACACAAAATTAATAAAATTTACTAATTTTAATAAATACAATTTATATTTTTTTGTGGACTATTCACACTTGACAAAAAAAATACTTTACCAAAATTGTTTTCACAAAAAAAGGCCGAATGTCATGTAAGATAGGTTCCTTGTATATCCTATGGTTTTGGATCTCCCATACTGTCCCAGTTAAAAAAACACACTATATATAAATAGATTTTATATTTTTCTATAATTGGGAAATAGGAAGACCAACAAATAAACTAAAGTACCTGATACTTTTGAAATACAGCAGCATAAGTTTACAACATGGAACAATGTACTCGGTAGCATTCGTCTTGAAAACAACAACATTACGAGTGTTATACGCGCTAAATTGCTTACTTTGCGCATGGCATGCATTGTCTACATTCCCGGAAACCATTTCATTCGAAGTCGACTCTATCATGTGAGGGTACATCATTGAATTGACTGACCTATCTTTAAATGTTATTTTAGTTTATGTAATGATACTAGGTCACGAAAGCATTAGGACAACATGCCTAGTTACTTCTGCCATGACTTGAATTGTTTAAGTTAAATATGACGTCTTTTGTGGACTAATGGTAGGCACCTACTTAGTTATTTGTGCTGAGCTACTTGTCCCATTTTGGAACGGCAATATCTATTTGATTTTTAAGTAGTTTCTCCTACAATGTTGTTGGATTTTAGAGAGATAGATAGAGATCTATTTATTTGTACGCATACACGGTAAATACAGTGTACATATTTATGTAATATTATTGTTATGGTTCAGTGTGTTGCGCCAACAATTGGCATTCAAATATTAATAGCAAAGTATACAATGTTCGTTCTTTTATAAATTGGTGAGTGTTCAGATCGATCAGTTGTTTATTGTCATTGTTTACTTATTTGTTTTATTTGATTAAGTAATGACAAAAAGAATCGTCACAAAAGGTTATTGGGTCTATAAAAGATCAGGAACTATATAGGGTTAAGTGGAGTAAGAAGAACAGTATATCATCGTATTTGTTATAGAGGTAATGTATACCTCGTGTTCTCAAGATTTCATAGCTGTCAAATTTGTTTTTTCCCCCATTTGGATTTGGAGTAATATATAAGTATAAATATATAATCTCTATGCTGGGCACAGCCCTCTCACAATGGGAGGGCTAGGGCCTCTAGTTCCTACGCGTGCCCAATGTGGACTGGGAACTTCGCACACATCTGCAAAATAATCTAAGAACGACACATCACTAACTGGGTTACTGAGCCTGGTACAAAACGGTTATCGCAACAATTTTTTTGGATCGATTTAGATTATATCCATTTTTTCAAACAAAGTAACGTCTCGGGCCCTACACAGGTCAGTCGAGACCATGGGTTTTAGATCTGACAAAATAGTTTCATTTCCTCTGTGTAACAATCGCGAAAACCTAAGAAAACATTTATAAGTTTAGTACAGCCAATATCATCCATGGATTACTACAGGTATGACAATTATTCTTAAAAATACTAGCGATGTCACTTAATTCGAGAGCTTTAGGTTAGGTTCTTAATTTCTACGACAGTTTTTCCCCGGTGACAGTAATCCGGTGTTTATAGGAGTTCAACTCTTACCAATAAATAAGCTTCCACTTTAGTAAGATAGTTTATTCTACCGCAACACAAAGTCCCTGGATGTTGTTATGTTACGATGTTAATCATGTTAATATATTTTTAACAAAGGCCACGTCACACACACAAATCTGATATTAAACAACAAATACATATTGTTTCAATGCTGCAAGGCCGCCCGTGTGGTGCACACAGTAAGATCTTTCCTAAGTTACAAAATAATGATATAAAACAAAACCATCAAAGGTTACAGGCGTAATCAATACGAGTCGTTTTTTATGATATCCAGTGACAGGGCGAAAAAGTCGTAGACTTGGTGGTAAGCGACAGGCTTTATCCATAACAGTCGCAATCATAATAACAAATGCATTTATTTCAGCCATAACAAATCTTTAGAATTACAACATGTAATGTTAAATTAGAATTAGATATAGCTTCTTACATGCAATAAATAGGTATACTTAATTATTAATTGAAATCCAATGTCGCAGTATGGACGAGCCGCAACCATGAACTATAGCAGCTATAATGCTATTAGCAAATGCAATGTTTTGACGGCCTCCGTGGTCGAGTGGCTTGCACACCGGTGTTCATGGTGTCGCCATCTCTGGAGGTCCCGGGTTCGATCCCCGGCCGGAACAGTGTAGAAAACTAACTTTTGTATATTGTCTCGGGTCTGGGTGTTTGTGGTACCGTCGTTGTTTCCGATGTCCATAACACAAGTGCTTTAGTTATTTACTTTGATATCAGAGCAACGCACGTGATGTTGTCTAATATTTATATTTATTTATTTAATGTCCCTCAAAGCTTCAAATCGCAAAAATTTGAGGGTCACCTTGAGACGTGACGAATTGAATTGACACGTCCCTTATGTCAATACTTTCGCCAGCACCGTTTCCCTTAAAAACCAGAACGCAATAATTCTCGCGTTACTGCTTGCAGCAACATGTAAGTTGGCAGTACTTCTCAGGACGAACTCTCACAACACTACTGCTGCTAAAACTATAGCTGTAATATCAGTTCGTCCAAAATAGCCTCTTGATCGCTAGATACGTACCTTTTACAAACAATAGTTTGGCAATCGACACAAATATCGTGTCACTTATTTCCAATGTTACACAATAGCGGGCTTTACATGGACACTCTATCGCGCTTGGTACAGTAATCGTGCGCGATTGCGTGAGACGTTTTGGAAGAAAAAGGGAAAGACCGCGTGATTGCGCTCGTCTGTCGCGCACTCCAACGCGCCATAGCCTTTACACGGACGGTCTTTCCGTTGTAACAAAAATGAACACGAGCAATGGAAAGAACGTTAGCTTAAAAATTTTCAAACAGGTAATCGCACACGATTTCACGTGCAGGCTTTCCCGCGCGCTATCCCGTACGCTCCTTATCACGCGCGATAGTGTGACTGTGTAAAGGAGGCTAATAGGTAGTCCACGATCAAATAAAACTACAACAAACAAATAATAATACTACAATCTTGCCAAACTCCTTTCGCACCGATTCCGTAATACCTAGTTATCTTAACTCCTCTGTGGCACAATGGCTTGCTCTATGGGCGCTGGTTAGGAAGTTCCGGGTTCTATTCTATTCAAGACCAATATAGGAAATGAACTTTTCCCAGAATTAATTCTGTTTCTCTGGCACTCATTGTACAGGGAATTCCCTAGTTTGAAACAAGGTAATTGATGTGGCAGTGCGGCACATTACATTCGTTATTATTATCGAGATATAGTGCTTATCATGTTATACACTTCCATCAATCATGTAACAGGTAGTTAGGTATCCTAGAATTTACACCTCTCAAGGATCATTGGAACACTAAGCGGAAATATAGGACGTAAAATATAACCTAACTGTTCGTATGCCACATAATCTCATATTAAGTAATAAAAATATTTACTGAAAATTATACTTTATAATATTTAGATAGCGTAGCGTTCGTTTCAAAATGTGACTGCTGTAAGTGTGGTTGAATGTACTGTAATAAATAAAAAACCTAAATAAATAAATATAATAAAAATAAATAAATGCTTTGTTGACCAACTCCTCACCATGTTCCAGGTGGATGGAGTGGAAGCTGAAGACGAGGTGGAGCGGCGGTCGACGGGCCAAGCTGCACGCGACTGGCGTACCGGCGTCAGCGCACGCGCACGTCTCGACGCAGGCGGTGCGCACGCCGGCCTACTGGGCGGCAGTCCGCTTACGCTGCTGCAGGGAATTATACCTGGTTAGTATTCATTTTATTATCTGAAGAAGGTCACAAAAAAGCATCACCAATAGAAAGCCTGAGTTAGCTAAAGGAATATCTATTTATATACTAGAGGAGTACATTTACAAACTAATTTGTTTCGTAGAGCGCGTGTTTTTTGAACAAAATATTATGTTTCTTATTACAGGTACAAAATGGTGTGGTACAGGCGATATAGCGGCCGACTACCACGACCTAGGCGCAGACCGGCGGCTGGACCGTTGCTGTCGTACACATGACCTCTGTCCCACCAAAGTGCGCGCTTTCACCCGACGCTACAACCTCACCAACAATTCGATTTACAGCAAGTCGCACTGCCACTGCGACGATATGCTCTTCGACTGCCTCAAGGCCACCAACACCTCCGCCGCTCACCTTATGGGCCACATCTACTTCAATCTAGTTCAAGTACCTTGCTTGGAGGACTCCCACGATGGGCGACAGTTCCGCGATGCCAAACAAGGCTTTTAACGGCATCTAGCGGTCAATAGCAGAACTAACAATACAACCTTTAAGTATAGCGCCATCTCTTGACAAACTTTTAAATAAGTGTCGCACAGAGTAGTTTATGATGTAGTTATTTTTTGTGTCGTGTGTGTAAATAAATAAAAATTAAATATTAGGCGTCATACATCAACCTGTGATATGTCTGTGCCTTTGATGTGTGGTATGAGTATTTTATGATGGCGCTATGCGAACACAACTTATGCATAGTTAGTGAATGTTATTTTAAGATTAATTATTTATTTGTTACATTTAAAAGTATCTTTTTCGCATGAAACACGATCAATTCATGAATTCGTGACAAAGGACATTACGGCAAATCTTCAATGTGTATATTGCAGCACTAGTTTCTCTAATAAATGTGAAATCTATGTGAAAATCTTATACCAAATAAATTTTTATTTATAATAAATTAAACTGTGTTTAGAATATCCTAGAACCCCCTCCTGCTCCTTCTTTGACTATCCAAGACTATACAAGGAATTATATATTTGCTTAATTTTTTTGTTAATCCAGAGAGGTTGATACCCATGTGTACATCTAAATACTTTGTTCATAAATATTTAGTTGCAATTTCTATATAAAATTATTGAATGCAGTAGAAAAAATGAAATAAGCTTATCAAAGTATTAAAAATACGAATTAAGTGTATAGGTATTTAAAAATTTGAACTAACTTGCAATAGAGTGGCAACACTTTCATGAAATTCGTATGGATATCAAACAAAAATTTTTAATAACAATATTGCAAGTTAGTTAAAATTTGACCTCTCATAAAAATGAAAAGGTAACAAAAAGTGTGATCCAATATTAAATATAAGCAATACGTAAAAAAAACATTAAACGCTCGAATTAATTGTTGTTAGTCTTTTTAATAGTGCTCTTACGGTTTTCCTTAATTTTTGAATTTGTGATAATGCAGTAAATCTATGGAAAGTGACGATCAGGTCGACGATGGAGCATGCACACCTAAGTAATGCCTATTCATACTCGCCTTGAAAAGGTCCAAGTTATAGCGTTCTGAGAATAAGTCTGTGGAAGCCAAACACTTCGTACGAATAACAAAACAAACGAAACAAACTGCCTCCGTGGCCGAACGGTTACCATGCCGGACTGCCATGCAGAGGTCCTGGGTTCGATTCCCAGGCCGGGAGAAATATGTGTATGGCCTACATTTATTTCTCCCGTGAGTTTGGGTGTAATTTGTGGTTGTCTATGTGTCTGTCCATGGCACCCGCGACACAGGGTTTCCCTAGTGCGGGGCTATGTTGAGTGTGTGCGTTATTATAAAAAAAAAAAAAAAAAAAGAATCCTGGGAATATCCATAACATAGGGGTAGAACCCCAGCCCACGTCTAGTTTAAAGTCACGTCTTTTGTTTGATATCCAAGTCAGTGCGTGTGTATGAACTACTATGTTATCGAAGATTTTAAAATAAAGCAACACTGAAATGCATGTGTCAAATTAAGAAACGTCAACAGATTTTTCGTGGTTACTCGTCACAGTTTCTTTTTTGCGTTGTTTAACGTAATTTTGGAGCTGAAAATCATTTTATAATGCTGGAAATTCGATGAACAGAAAGTTATTAGTTGTAAACATTTAGCAAGCAGCACAAGGACGGCACAAGAAGATGGCTAGTGAAGCTTCAATGGATAGTTCAAAAGGTGTGTGTTTCTCTGACGAATTTGTAGGCCTTAAATGTGATCATCGCGAGGATGAGCGGTTATTATGTTTCAAGTGGAAGGCGCGGGCGAGTGCGACGACTCTACGGCCGACCAGGCGCGCAGAGAGGCTGAGGAACGGTTCAATATTCAGCGCGCCAGAATGAAAGAGCTTTTCTTACAGAAAGAAGGTTCGTAGCACTCCCCTGCGAAGCTAGCGACGGGATCAACTTACTGGTTCACTGTTGGTGTCAGCTAGATCGCATGACAGTGTTGTCCCTGGTTAATAGTTATTTCAGAACATCTCATTAGTGTTTATTGTTCTGTTTGTAGATTTCCAATATTGCACGTCTTTTTGCCTCACGTTTTTGAGATTAAATTTTAAAGCTTATTACATTATTTGTTGTATTCATACAAGTATTTGTGTATACCATGTTCTATGTTGCGACATGTAGAATACATCATTTTAATGAATAGGTGCTAATATACAGGTGTTGAGATAACTTTGTTAACAAGTATTGCAATTAAGGAAACATTTAACAAAAAACTTGGTGAAGGAGAGTGGAATCACATGAAAGCTAAATTGCCTCTATTTATTTATTTATTTATTTTGAATACCCACAGAAGATGGTTATGGCATTCAAAACCAGGAATAAACTTTATATATTACATTACACTCACTTCAAGGCCTTTTCCCTTCAAGGTGGGTGGAGATCACAGCTGTCCAATTGCAGTGATGTAGGACTGTACTGACAGTGCCTGAGTTATCCTTACAATAATAACATCCGCAATATTACATGTAAAGAATATACAATAAAGATTTTGTGTTGTATTGTTCTTATTCATTTATCAATAATAAAATATAGAAAGAAAGATTTGAAATTGTAAATACATTGAATAGAAAAATTAAAATAAGATTGAAATTGATCTAACTTAAGTGACAGTTGATAGTATAAATAAAAAATCTTAAACTATTTAATTGTTATTTTATGGGCATGGGTATCAGGGACTCTGAACAAAATGAGTCTATATAACTTTTTAATGTGTAAAAATGAAGGCTTCTGCACAATTTATATTCTAAAGCTTAAATTGATCTATCTAACCATTTAACATTTTAAACATCAAATTTTAGTGCAAACACTGAAATGAAAATTTTTAAAACAACATTACTTTTTTTGGAGTTACTTCTGTTTGATTAAATCACTTATACACTACTACCATGTCTAATATCATCCTAAGCAATATCATTTATCTAGACAGTTTCACGTAGATCACACAGGAATATGTCTGTTTTGATTCTTACAAATGCTACATGGCCATTCCACAGAGGACCTGCAGCGTCTGATGCTGGAAAAGCAGCAACTGGAGTCAGAAGTGATGGGGCTGCATGCCGAGTTGCAGCAGATGCAGGTGTTAAGTGCAAATCAGCAGTCTGAGCTAAAAAATTTGCAGCTTATAGTTGCTGGTTAGTTGTGTATTTAATAGAATCCTATTACTTCACTATGGCCTGTATGACCCAATCATGTACAACACACTAATTAGGTAGTGGTTAACAATCAAAAGTAATAAAGCTGTTTATCGCTTTTAACTTTTTAATTATCTAAAGTGATAAGTTTATCCTGTATTTACAGTTGATTTAGTGGTCACTACAGTCATGTGGCTATACTGGAAATGATGTCTTTCTGTTCACTTTGGGGCTCTAAAGATGGTGCTAATTTATTATCCATTAGCAAATACTATGGTTTCCTAAAAATTATCTTTAAAAAAAAATAAAATAATAATAAGTAAAATATTTTTGTAAGGACAAAAATATTTTTTAAACTAAAATTATATTAAAACATATGAACACATTCCTCTGTTTTACTTTTGTGCAGAAACTGTTGAGGCGTCGTCAAGCGGGTCCGAGGAGGCGCGTCTGTTGCGTGCCCGCAACGCTGAGCTCGAGCACCAGATTACTCAGCTCCGCGCGCAGATACAGCATCTACAACAGCAGCAACAGGTGTGCTTTTGTTTTGCAGCATAATGAATTATATGTAAGCTGAATATTGAGTTTCAACTCAACCATCAACTACTGTAAGATGAATACAGGGTGTATTTCTATCATTCTTATCATAACTAACGTAATCAACATTTTCAGGGAAATTAGTGAGTAAACATATTTGGGATCAGCGAAACGAGATCTCCAACCCCCTCTAATCCGTTTTTTTTATATCTTATTTAGTTTCAGTTTTATTGTTCAACAAAATCAGCATAATTGACATTTTACAGAGATAAAAACATTTGAGTGCCAATATCTCGAATGTTACGAAAGCTATGATGAACAGATTTGATAATGTGACAAATACTTAATCACTGAGACCGTGAAAGTTATGTCATTTTGATCTGTAAAAATTAATTGAATGAATTACTTGTCAGACAAAGAATACACAGGGTTGTGGTATGGTATGGTGTAACGGGCTGTTGTCCGCAACTCGACGTCCAAGCGCCTATTTTGCGTGTGGTGGGTGCAGAGTCGTGCCACCCAAGCTCCTCCAAAAATCTCAGCATCCTTCTGGGTTTTTCGAAGACTTCGGAGAGCGACCTCGGCACTCCTCCAGGGTATTTTGCCCTGTAGTTAGCTACGCCGGAGCATTGCACTAGGACGTGCGCGGCGGTTTCCTCCCCCTCCATGCATGCTCTGCATAGAGGGCTGTCCGTGATAACTAGATTAAAAAGGTGTTTACTATATGGACGACCCGTTAGAGCGGCAATTAGAAGCTGCAGCTCTTTCTTTTGAGGTTAACAAATTTACGAGATAGACATGGGTAGTGATTCCCTAGCCTGTCTACAAATCGTATGGGTTGTCCAGGTGTTATTATGAACAGTTTTTGTACCTTTGTGTATAGTTGCTCTTGACAATTGGTAGCTAGGATTCTTCTATTTTTTTATTTTAGGTTATTTGTAAAAGACTAACAATCTCGCTGGACTATATTACTAACATCATAAACAATAACTATTGTTCATGTTAAAAATAAACTTTTTAGATTTTAATGTAACTGTGTTTTTATTGTTTACTAAAGAAAGAAATCAAGCAAAAGTCCTTCTCGACAACCCCCACCCATGCCCCCGTGTTTTGCTCAGAGTTATACCACCATTAAGAGCAATGAAATTGAATATGTTTATTTTCGTATGAAAGTAAAATGTGGTGAATTATTAAGTCATGGAACTACAGTTGTTGTTTATGATCTTAAGAACTAATCCAGTGAGGTTGTCCATATTTTATAAATAACCATGTAGGGTGTATGCTGTTTCCTATAATAAAATCCAATAAGCAGATTTATGAGTGTAACACAAAAACGATTTAGTTACAGACCTGGTATATTTAGTAGCAGTGGAGCTCCCTGTCAAAGAGTTTGTCTAGGGAAGTACTGCCACCTTACCTATTTCTGCCGCTATGCAAGTAATGTGAGCATTACTGCATTCCGAAAAGTTTACATTGTAGCAAGTGGACACGCTTAAATTAGAGCTTTGGGTCCCTGTTGGGCACAGCAAAGACACGCAGAGAGGGCAACATTTAACAAATAAAATCTTCAAAAACCTTACAAGAAAAAAAATACAATTTATACAAAAAGACATTTCTTAAGTCTCAAATGAAAACTATTGTAATACTATATTATTATTATTTTGAAAGATTAATAAATATCTATATATGCTATTAACAAAGATTAACAAAACTGCAAGCACATGGGACTTATCAACTGATATCTCAGTGTGGCAGGCGCAGTGGACTTCCCCTCAGATCTTTGCGTTTTAAAGCTCTTGAGTGGCACTGCAACTGTTATGGACAGGCGTGTCGCTTACCACCAGGCGCACGACTTGTTCGTCCCGTCACCTGGTATCTAAAAAAATAATTATCGCTAGAAAAAGCGAATGAAAAGTACAATTTTAGCAGTTAAATAACTTCACAAAAATTCACACACATTTCATTCAGATTTAGGCACATATAAATTTATACCACAATCAGCTATACAGTATTTTTATGTTTTAATAAGGTACAACTTCCCTTGTCAATAGAAAAGTATGCTTGTGCCTACACAAGCATCTCAAAACTTACTATAAATATTGTACAAATGTAACTGTTGTCGTGGTTCTCAGTAAAGTAAGTTGGGCTGTCACGTCTATCGCACAACATAGTAGCTCTTTGATAATGACACCTTTATATTTCTTGACGTTATCAGTTACAGGAAATGTTGATACTAAGTTGCAGCTGTTTAAATTATCAAGTAGAGTTTACATTGGCATTGTCTATGGTGTAAATTTTTTTCAAACTATATGAAACGCATTTTGAAACACCCTTAACTAACTGGCAAACATACATCGCTATACAAATGGGGAGAAGAGAAGCCTCCGTTCATTGACACACAAAAAAATATAAATATTACGACGGCAATCATACGGGAATAAACGATTTTCGGGCTTTACAGTGCTATTTCCAAGTGCAAAATTAATAAGCACACACATACATTACATTAATCAAACGTAGACAAAACAATTTAATAAATTCAAATAAAATAAATGAAATTAACGTAGAAAGATAAAATAAAAATACCGAAAACTAAACTCAATTAAAATAATGTATCATACACTACATACAGAATTAGATTATCCCACTTGTATCTAATTGCCGCATACTGCTTTTCCATAGAGATCAACAACTAACTGACAAAAGTCATTTTATATAGATTTAATATAAGCACTATAGCAAGAAACATAGTGACATTTTTGTATTCGGGACTATTGAAAGGGTTAAAAGATTTAAAAGATTCAAAGATAAAATATATATCACTTTTGTACATTTCTTTGCCTAACCTTAATTTAAAAAAAGTTATATATTATGCGTATAATTTTAATTACTAACTTACGTACAGTTGTGAATGCACTTCTGCATCCCCAACCCTCGTTGGGCCATTTTGGTTGCGACCCGAACCCAGTGCTGTGATGATGATAAATAACAAGTAATTTCAGGTAAAGAAATGTATAAAACATAACCGACAGTAATATCAGGCTTTATTGTTAAAGTAAACGTATCCGGCGTGTTGTTTATCAGTTAACCAAACTTACGCTGTCATGTCACCAATAGAATAAATGGTTGTATAGTGTTACGTTCTTTGAACACAACTCAAGTGATATGCGATAGTAAATACTGTGCACAAGTTTATAATGGGAATTTATAATATATATTCCTTCATTGTCATATCGATTGCGCAAAACTTTAAAATTTAATTTAATTAAAATCTCTTAAAATTCCGTTACAAAATTTCAAAAAGGTTTGAATTTTCTTTTAAAGAACAGTGTTAAAAGTTTACTTGCCTATTTAAATTACTTAAAAACACATAAGTGAAAAAAAAATTTGCTTATTGTACTTAATATTATAACTTTCGTTATAAATAATCATTTATAAAATTTACCTAATGCAAAAATATGAAACAAAAAAAACTGAAAGGAAAACTGCGAAGGTTTTGTATAAAATTCAGATGTTATCACAGTTTATGTTCACAGTTAACGGTTGGTTAATAGAAATGATTACTTATATTAACTTGGCCTATTTTCCAATAATTGCATCTTGCTACGAAATTCAGTTGTTTCTTTGTTACATTTCAACAAACTGCTAAAAGTTACAGTCATGTGTACTATTTCTACATAAGGTATGATTCCACGGCGGTGGTAGCTCAGTGGGAGAACGGTGGCTTCTCAATTGAGAGGTCAACGGTTTGAATACCTGTGGCGGCATGCATCTACGACTTTAATCTCTGAGTTCCGTACATTTGTGAATATTTAGTATCAACACCTAGTATCTCGCTAACGGTGAAAGAAAACATGGCGACGAAGCCTGATGAAGAAAGTACCTTTGGAACCGTCTCCCTTGAGGAGATCAATGCACAGCAGTTGGACAATTGTACATTTTAAAAACTTGCCATGTTAGTATGTTCCATAGTCAAAATAAGACTACTGGTTTTAATTGCGCATTTTTGGGCAAACATTTTGACAATACCACGAACCGAGCTTACTTTGAGTTGAGTCGCGTGTTACAATCTTAAAACGATAACTAGAATTTCTTACTAAAGGCTAAACCATCACTTGGAATCAAAGTATTTTTGGAAGAACGTTGGATAAAAATGCGCCTTGTGCTCTTTGAATTTTTTTTTTTCGGTAGACGAAAGTAATAAAATATCGCTCCCAATAAAATAACCAATGAAGCGCCACTTATCGCCGACATTTAGGGACTAAGTTCGTTTTCTATCAAACTTTGGCACTCAAGGTCATTTTCAAACTCACCGCATTAACTATAACCAATAGTTAATATTTGTGATAACAATTTCACATAGGTTTATATCCAACATAATATGCTCGCATATACAGAGTGGAACGGAAATGGTATGAATAAAAAATATATACCAGATGGATTAAATACTGTACGTGATATAAAAAAAGACCAGTGAAAACTGTTTACTTACTTACTGCGCTGGCTGAGCGACCCGAAGTGGATCTTGGCCTCCTACAAAAAAGTACGCCATTGCTGTCGGTCGTATATCAGTTCCGACCCTTCGGACACTTTTCAGTCAGTTCCTTTAGGTCTTTGGCGACTTCATCCTTACAGCGATATCTTGGACGTCGCACTGGACGATGACCCGTAGGTTACCCCAAATACGCTCTTAAGGCGTATTTGTGAAAACTGTTACATTTTTAAATTCACATTTTTTTACTTTAATTCAAAACACACGTGTCCCAGCATTACAAGCTCATTATCTTTATCGAATCCGTTTCGGACACTCCTTTTTAACGTAATGGCAACCTCGGATTTAAAACTGTGCAGTAGCGATACTCGACAGCTGTGGCCATAAACAGAGTTGATCCACTTGATATTGATATACCTTTTCCGATACACCCTGTATAATAACTCAAAGGCGAAGCCCACTGTAACTTAGTTGTTATCGCACCACCGTGCCTAACGGACGCACAATCCATTTACTCCAGTATGTAATAATGTAGTTGCTCAATTATTGTCATCGTTTATAATTTAATGTTCTAATTAATTTAACGCGGTTATAAAAAGTTTTGTTATTGTTTTTTTTATTAAAATACATTTATTTGAAACAATTTACAATACAAAAATTATCAAACACTGTTTAAATAATGTTGGAAACTACAGATGGAAGTGAATTTGAAAAGAAATAAATTAACTTAGTTTTACACGAAGCTATATTAGAAAACTGTAATAAACATTTTAACGAAACAAAAGTAACTCAAGATGTACAAGAAATTAACCCTGATGGAGGCTGATAAACTTAACCTAGTCCACGCTCGTGCGGTATGGCAGGAGGTGTCACTGGCGCCGGCCACGTTCGTGCGCTCCCTGGCCAGGAAGCTCACCGCTGACACCGACGTGCAGGACCAACCGCCCAGAAAGGTGAGCACATAACTATTGTATAAAAGACTTGCGTTGTTTTTGAACAAATATCAGAATTGGCAGAGATGAAACATAAAGGTAGTATGCATAGAGTAATTCGACGCCGGAAAACGATCTTGTCGTATCTCGAAAAATAGGCCTTTATACCAGGGCCGAAAAACGATTTCAAAAAATTATTTCTCTGTAATTTGAATTAATAGAAAGCCAATTTTAAAGTATGATGTATATAATCATACTTTAAAATTTACTTTCTGCCAATGTCATTTATTCATATTCTAATTCTAATGTCATTGTAATTATTCATATTCTAAGGGATAGTTCGGGGTATAAAAACTGACGATGACTTTACTACGGTAGTGTATTTAACTATTTTGGTTTGTATTATTTTTAACTGCCTCAGTGGCCGAACAGTTACAATAGAAACATTTATATGGCATACATTTATTTCTTTCGTTAGCTTGGGTTGGTTGTTCGTGGTAAGTTATTATTATTATCTACCTTTTACCGCTCCGAGATTTCAATTAATAACCACTCTATGAGTATCACTCGAAATTTTTTTTTTTATATAAGTCACATGTTAAAACCTTGCAAAGGCTGTTCTACTTGTTTGGAAAGACTGAAAAAAGTACGAAATAATTAGTCTCTGTCATAGGCGACGTGGGGACGTTTGCAGTCGCTTGCCAGTATTTAAAGAAATAATATACATAAAGAACAGCCATGGGCACAAATACAATGACCTTGGAAACCCGTTATAATATCTTATAGCATAGTAACATATTGATATCCTTATATAAAACCGATATAGGGGAAAACCAAACACTACAAATCTAATTTCATATTCACGTCATGTGGGATGTTTAGTAGGACTTCTTGACCTTTGAATTGATCCTTATTCCGATGTCGTAAGAAAAAAAGGGTGACATTTTTAATGACATCGTTAAAATGGCCGAACGGTTACCATGCTGGTCTGCCACGCGGAGGTCCCGGGTTCGATTTCCGGGCCGGGAGAAATATTTGTATGGCCTACATTTATGTCTCTAGTGAGGTTGGGTGTAATTTGTGGTTGTCCATGTATTACATATGTACATGGCACCCGCGACACAGGGTTTCCCTAGAGGAATATGAAATTTATGAAATATAAATAAAAAGTTATGAAATAAGGAAAAACATTTAAGGAAACAACCTTAAAATATGCGTTATTACTTCAGAAGGACTGTTATTTTTTCAATTAATGGCATCATTTGCAGAATGTCGAAGACGGGGAACTAGCGCAATCTCTAATCCAGCCGCTGGAAGCGGAAATATTTGCGTTAAAGAACAAACTACGAGAGACCGACGCGCAACTGCAAGAGGCTTTGGTAATATTTTGTATACTTGTTAATACTTATATCACAAACAGACAATTAGACAACACTGGGCAAGCGTGTAATAGTTAGCATTGTATACTAGTAGCATTTTTACTAAAACGCCACCTGATGGTTAATGGCTGAACCAGGATGAAAAAATGCTCAAATATTGCAATATAACTCTTACTCAAGTGAATGTAAGTTTAATTTTGTTAAAATTTAAAATTGTGTTAGTTATGGTAGCGGATAATAGAGCGTGAAGTTTGAATTGCACACAAGCTAAAAAGTGGCGACATCTGTACCCGATCTTACACAGCGCCATTACATATCTTCCCTTTTTTCCTATATCTATGATATTGATGTAGTCGGTTTCTAAGTTTTCCACCACTTTTCTGCATATCTGAAGTGGTATAGCTTTCACATCCTCAGTAAATCAGTACGGCCTTTCTGTGACAGCTGAGCGGAACATGCATAAACAAATTGAGGCAAATTTGCCCTGCTCGTCTCGTCTATATAAAACATAGTTTCCGAAAGTGGTCCCTACGGCCCCCCATTGGTCGCTGGAGAGTCCTCGGGAGGCGCTAAGGTGTGACGGTGTGACCTCCTGACACCGTCATCTCACCTTTTTGTATCGCCTCTCTCGTCTTGTATCCTATCATTTTTTTATTTTACATGTATTTAAATGTTAAATTTGAATTGTTCCATCTTCCTTCACTTTCTCATTTTGTTTTCGTAACAGTCGGGGCTGTTACGAAATTTTGGTTCTTTACTACGTTTATAATCATTAAATAAGCTAAATCATGTGTAATAATACATAACAACCTACAGCCTTCATGTACCTATGTCTGTAATTTAGTTACTCGGCCCATTTAGGGGTAAGTGCCTTTATTAAAGTGTAGGGAGTGTTTTTTACTGTTGTACCTGTTTTTTTTTACATTTACCTTTATATTGTTTCAGCCCTTTCTTTTAACTTTACTTCTTTAATAAATTTTGTGGACCGAAAGTTTCCCTTTGCATTGCCGTGAACCTGTTCACGGCTAGTTAGGGTTACAACCCTTTCAAAGGACCTCGGAAGCAATTGAGGAGTGTTGATACTATCCAGGGGATGCTACCACATTTGAAAAAAAAAAACAGAATTATGTATATAAACTACATCACTTACATGTATTTTTCCATTCACTTACAATTATATGGACGTCGGTCGTCTGACGCCGCGCTAAAAAGTGTCCGAACTTATAGGGCGTTAAAATCGTATACAGAGCGTCATTCACGCTTTAGTCTTCGTTTGTTCGACTGACAGCGAAGCAAGCAAAATTAGACAGTACTGCGATGACATTACAATTTAAATTCAACGTTTTAGTTTTTTCATATTCCTTTGCATGTCACTACGTTTAAATAGGTTGACTTGGGACATTTTTTTCGTGGTTTTTGTATTAGACCCGTCGTCCATTTATTTGTAAATCAATGTATTTTTCCTTGTGATTTTTTGTGTTAAAATAAAAAATACGTGTTTTCAATTAATTTTTGTGGTGTTGAGCGTTGAAACTCTTGTATCTTGCCTTGTGGACGGTGATACAAAAGGTTTGGGAACCTATGCTTTAAAAGGTGAAGTGGAATGACCCCCGCTCAAACTCAAACATAACCCAATTTTAAACAGTCAACTCGACTTGAATAAATGTCATATATGCACCTGTGGCGTATGTAAAAGTATCCACTCTGCTAATATCACAGCTGAGTAAAGACTGTGACGCCGATATTAGCAAATTACACTTGAAATCGTCGTATTAAACTCTACTGCTCATTCGTAAGACAGACTCCCCTGGAAAGAAGAAGTTGCTCGTTGTAAATATACATTTGAATACATGTGCCGTTACGATATTGAATTTGAACATCTTAGATCGAGAATACCTGGAAGAGCTAAACGGGACATTACCACGGCTTTTTATCATACAAGTACACTCTGGGGTTACAGTTTTTTATACTATTTCCCCTAAACTCACAAAATACTTTTGTGCGTAGAAATTGAAATACAAAATACGTATTAAATGTTCCATAACAAGGGATTCAAATACCGCCCAGCCGTACAAATAGATGATATGTTTTAAAAGTGAAGGAATTGCCCTTTGGAATGAAACATTTTTCTGCTGTAGTATATTTAAAGGCATTTCTTGTAAAGAAATCTTTATGTTTTCAGAAATCAAAATCAGCAGTCGCCGCTTCTGCCGGTGACACTAAAACAGATGGTATGATAATTTCGTCCATTACTTTCTAATATCAAATATGATATTGAAAATTGATTTGTATACGAAGTGGAAAAAAATCAATGGAACAATCTTTTATTTTTATCATTAAAGCATTCACGGATTTTCTGCATAGCTTACCTAACCGGCAATCGAGCCGACTAACTACAAATGCAAAAAATAAACACTCACTATTTTATTGCACTAATCGATAGGATCAATGATAAGAATAAAATCCCTCTAACAAACATGGGGTGTTATAATTCAAGACGTCCATAAAATCTTATTAGTACATAACGACTTACATTAATATCATCTAACGTAGACTTGTCATCATTATCTTGTAAAAAAATCGGTGAATGCAGTTATTCATATTAAGGAAAATAAAAATGTTTAAGTAAATTAGCTATCGTAAATATTCATGTCTCGTTGATTTTTGCCATCATGTTTTTATAGTCTTTTGCCCTTAATTAGCTAATTGGTTGCATTTCGAACGAAGTCTAATGCAAAAGTTCGTATTTAAGTCGGTTTATTTGTTATTCCGCCATTAAAGTCATGATTGGTCAATTTATCTGCGAAGTTTTTCAACTGTGAGAGCATTAGTAATTTTTAATGTATTGTTGTTTTTCGCTCCGTAGAGATCAGCCGGACTTGCGACATGTGCGCGAACTATGAGAAGCAGCTAGTGGCGGAGCAAGCCGCCGCAGACGCCGCCAGGGACAAAGCCTCCAAACTCGACCATGCCCTTAAATTGGTAAAATTATTTATTATAGGCACTTAATTGTAAATAACTTAAAACTTTTTTTCTACTCTTGTACTGTCAATTCTAGTTTGATAAACTAAAGAACGTCGTACTTTTGCTAATTAAAAGAGGCACACTTCACTGTGTTCCTGAACAGACTAACGTCACTATATTTGTGGAATTATTAAAATTCGAATTGTTAACTGATACCTCAAAATGTTACATACTTGGGTACAAATGCGTAATAATTTGGCACAAAAGAAACTATTTAAATATGACGCTTCTCAAACACTCGACTGCCTCCTGATTGGTTAAAATATAAGCGGTACTTGGCCAATCACGGGCACTTCTATTCTATCTCTTTGGTTTTTTTGTTTTGTAGCGTTTGTTTTTGTTTTCGTATGAGTTTGTTGACGTGGATTGTTAACAAAATATACGTTAAATATTTGTTGTGTTTCATTATTTTAATTTTCTCGTAGAAAAAGTATTGTATTATAATGAGGGGTATAGCTCTAATGCATAGCGAGAGGTACTTTTAATAATATAAACCGGGATCATCTTAAGAACTTTTGGTTTATTTTACCATTTTACATAATTTCACTTTCAGGTTACCAATCAATAATCTAATATGTCAAGATCTTCTGTTTTCTTAACATTCTAAATATAAAACTATGATCACTACCTATATTCAGCCAGCAATTCTACTCAGCGTAGAGCAAGTTATATAGTAGAGTAAATTATTACATAATTAGGTCTTAAAATCTCGTGCCTATTACTTAGGCCGTTGTTGCTCGGTGACCTAATACAAACACGAATTTATTTTTTCCGAATCTCATTATATTTTTGAACTAGGTAGACTTGCTAAATCTTATAATTAATTTTATATTATAAAAAATTTTATATTATATAATATTATAAAAAATTAAAATCTTATAATTCTTTAACTATATCTTAATGTTTGGTTTTTGTCACTGTTCGAACTGCTGGAGTAAAGTGTGTATAAAAGTTATAAAAATTTTGTGTGCCGCGAGACAGGTAACGGTGATGTAAATTACATTCTTGTAAGGCTTTTGTAACCTCTATACATATCACAAAGAAATACATTAATTTCAATTTAGATACTTCGTATACGTAAAACATAGTCAGGCAATGTTTAATAATGTAATATATTTTATTTATAGGCAACAGAAGAATTAGAAGGCGTCCGCTCAATACACGACGAAACTGTTCGGTCGTGGCACTCCGAAAGAGCCGCTAGTTCACAACAGTTAGAAGAACTTAAAGCTGCAGTCGAGGAGGCCAAAACGACACTTGATTTGAAGGTGAAGGAAGCCGAACAAGCCTCTCAGCACGCCCTGGAACATGTCACTACATTAACGGTAGATAGAGAAACGTTGCAGAAGAAACTCGATATGTAAGTATACAAATTGGGGGTTTTGTTGAAATGAAATTAAGTGTCTCCAATACTCGATTTGTTCGTCGTACAACGTGTTTTTCAATAGACAATATAATGAATGTTTGGAATTGTCTGCTCGTTTTGGTTCGGGCCGGTCGTAGTTTTTGTGGAAGCTTTCGACACGGTGAGTCATTCAGCGCTCGAGAAAAATGAACGTTCATTTATTGGAATAGGGCCGGGTTGAATAAAAGAATATTGGAAACTTACAATTTAATTATATTCGATTTTAATATAGAAAGCCGAGAACAAATATGTAGGCAAAATAATCCAATCTCTTTCGGGGTTACGCAAGGATCGGTCTCGACGCCACTTTTGTTTTTATTGTTCTGCCGGTCGCAATCGACTCGATAAATGGAACTTTCGCACCCCAGGCTGGAAAGGGACAACGCGGTGCTCGTGGGCCAGTTCACGCAGAAGGCGCACGAGATGCACAACGAGATCATCGACCTGCCGGACTCGACGGAGGTGAGCGCCCCGGCGCGGGGAGGGGCGCCGGGAGGGGGCGGGCCGTAACGGAGCTTCTGCGCAGGCGCTGCAGGAGCTGGCGCTGCGCCTGCGCGAGCAGCTGATCGCGTGCGCCGTGGGGCGCGAGCGCGCGCTGCAGGACGCGGCCGAGCTGCGCGCGCAGCTGCTGGAGCAGGGCGCGCTGTGCCACCACCACGACGCCGAGCTGGCCCGCACGCGCCAGCAGCTGCGGGACGCCCAGTGAGTCGCCGCCGCCCGCCCCGCCCCGCCCCGCCCCGCGGGCCCCGCCTCACGCCCTCCCGTTGCAGGGACGCGCTGGCCCGCCTGCAGACGGAGCGCTCGCAGATGGGCGAGCTCGGCGACAAGCTGCGCCAGTCCAGCGACATGATCGAGAAGCTGCTCGAGGACAAGGCACGTCCGCGCCCCCGCGCCCCGCGCCGCCCGTCGTGCTCCGTGTACTGTTTTCCTTCAAGGCCCGTGTGTCTTGCAGAAGCGACTGCAGACGGAGGTGGCGGAGCTGCGCTCGCGCGTCTTGGTGCTCCAGCAGGAGCTGGACAATAGTGAGAAAGTGCAGCAGGACTTCGTCCGACTATCGCAGTCCTTGCAGGTACAGACGCCTATTAATACTGTTTTATAAAATTTCGATAGCAAAATCCCAGTATATGAATCGTATCTTCAGAAAATAAAGTCGTGACTTTATCGCTCTGGTTTCCGTGGTACAGTCATAGTCGATTAAGACAATTACAGTCTGTCTTTTTTGAAGACAGAGCGAAACGACATTTGTAGAGTTGCAAATTTTCATAAAATTTTAAATAATCACGTAGTTCTTATCGACAGTTTTATCGATAGATTGTAAAAAAAGACAACATTTTGCCAAAATTGTCTGAATTGACTGTTACGACAAGTTGTAATTGCGTTATTGCCTTCTTCTTTCTTATTTTGACGGTTGGCCTACTAGTATCCAAATAAATTTTTGTTCATGCACATTTTAACAAGAACATGCGGATTTCATTATCTATATTAATTAAAATTAAAAACTTTAAAATACGTCTCCTTTTTATATTTGCAATAGACATAGTTCTAATTACAGTGTATGTATGAATGAACTTACAAAAACTGACTACTCAAATGAACCCGTGCCCAGCAGTTGGACAACTAATGGACCTATTTCATTTATTGATAGGGCCGATATTGTTGCATGCGTAACCAACATTCAATCTATAGTCGATAAAACATTTATCGACTGCAATCAGTAGCACGCAAACGGACAACACTTTTGCGCAATTAACTGTCATTTTACGCCATCTTCAAAAAAGACAGACTGACTTCAAGACTAAATTCAAGTCTACCAAAATAATTCTCATCTCAGTGAGCCTAAAGTCGATTTTTGTCAGATCGATCAGATTGGGTATACCGTTAAAAAAGATACAAGGTGCAAAACGGACTTCTATGAAAAGACTGATGCAAGTACTCTCTGCCTACCCAGTTGGATGGTGTATATACTTTGATACGTTGGACGTTGTAATTGTGTACCAGGTTCAACTACAACGCATCCGCGAGGCAGACACGGAGGTGCGGTGGCAGAACGACGAGGACGTCAGCGAGTGCCCTTCCTGTCACGTCTCGCTGCCGAACAGCAAGAAAAAGGTAACCTTTGTGCTGTAGTTATTCACGAAGATCGGTATTGTGCTTTGCTTCCTGAGTACCGTTATTCTACTCTCGAGTGTCTCCTCCTTTTTCAACAATAAAAGATCTTCAAAAACTTTGTTTATGGTTGCAAATAAATCGAGGTTATAGATATAATAATAGTATATATACATGTTGTCTCTTCTGACTATCTGACGTAAGTAGCAATTTGCCAATGCGACATGTTTTCACTTTGGCGCTCCATGTGTTGAATTGTAGTAGCTCGAGACAATATCAATATCGGGACCATACATATTACCTGGTCTTTAAATAGGAAATTCACAGTATTACGAGTATCCAGAATAACTAGACCGAACCAATCTAGAAAACATCGTTTTACAAATTGATCCTACGGGGTTTAATTCAGAATCTCCTTATCAAAGGCCATAACTGAGTCAACTGCCACTTGCTTGTACTGGCCTTGTCGCCAGCCTCGTTCGTTTCGTTGTTTTTTTTTAATATGAAGGCATTGAACACCTCCCTTGTCCTGATCTCTCCACTAATAAGTTATTCTCATATACTGTTATTCCCATCAGTAAATTATTCCTCTAGATGTCTAATTCATTCAAGAAGTATAACGTTGTTTACATTTTCTTTGATTGCGGAGAAATCAGTAGTTGAAGTATTTTAAAATAAAAACCTCGTTACTCCAAAAGTAGTATTTTTATTACCAGCCCGTTGCACCAAGTACCAAGTAAGTACAGTCTAATTAATTTTTTATTGAATTGACATTCAATTATTTTTTGTGAAATTACTCCACTAGTTTGTTATAATTATTGATACAAAGATTCACGAACACTTCGAAAAAATTCCTTCTTGAACCTGGCACGGTTTGCTAGAAGATGTCGGTTCGAATTCGGTTATTTCAGTCTTTCAAGTCCTGAACAGTGAAAACGGTTGATAGCCGGAAGTAAAATCCTTTTAACCAAAAGTAGCCATAAATAACGGTCGAGACGGCCGAAAGTCCCAAAAAATGGTTGCCTCGAAGTGCCTCAATTGCTCAGAAACGATAGTCGGAATGGATGAACATTGGCCGTGTCGCGTGTCCTGGCAGGTGCACTGCCGGCACTGCGGGCGCATCTTCTGCGCGGCGTGCGTGGCGCACGTGGTGCCGGCGGGCCCGCGGCGGCTGCCGGCGCGCGTCTGCACCGTGTGCCGCACGCTGCTGCAGCCGCACACCGCGCCCTACTTCAGCACCGACCCGCCGCACTCGCCCGACTAGCGCGGCGAGCCGACGCGTCCGCGGCCCCGCACCCGACCGGGTGGCGACTTCGAGAATTAAACTCGCATCTTACATGATTCACTGAGATCTTAAATCTTTCAAAATAAAAAAGACCCAGGGTGACAGAGACGGAAACATTACACCCCCTGCCGCGCTCATTCCCTCGCGCTGACCGCATACCACTGTAAAAGAAAGTACCGCCTATTCTCGTTTAAATGCGTATTAAACAGAACTAATACTAGAATTGCGTAACAACAGCATACAGTCACGTAGTAGATGACGTGAGTCAAACTTGCGTCGGTTTGAAGACAGATAATAAACAGTAATTTAATAAAAAATAGAATAGATAGAACAAGTCTAGCTAGGTAACGAATCGTGTTTCATCATAAATTATAATAATAGTATTTAGGCTCAATTTATATTGCGGCGGAACGAATGGAAGCGAATTTTTGTATCGATACTGAATATAGCATTATGAACTTTATCGTCAATTGTCTAACGTACAAACTAGGTACGAGCCAAAAATCACGTCGCGCATCTTCCGCGGAACTCTCGCGCATTTGCAAGAATTCCGCAGCTGCTGTCGGCAACGCTTGGCGAATCCGCGGGAAGTGGATGAAATGCTCGACGCGTCCATTTCATTCCCTTCCGCCGCAATTATGCCTTAAAGTTCAGTGTGCAACGGCGTATCCCCGCCAATGACAGAGATATACAATGAAATTTAGAAATCCTGTATATGACATCATCTACTTACTAATTAATTTATTTCTTTAAAACTTTACATCTACCATTATAGTTATAACCAATGCTATAGTGTACAAATTAATATGTAAATTCTTACATTCATTCCATAATAATAATAAAAAACTACTGACTCAAATTATTACGAAATATGTACTTAGCAAATAATATATAGTGTTATTCTTGTGAATTCACACAGAGTACATGAAAGCAAGTCCGTTCTGTCTGCAAAATCATTTAGGATTTGCAAAGCTCGTGTGAGCGGGGCCTTCTGGCTCAGATTATTCCGTCCGCGCGTCACTACCAACAACCGCGGATTTCGTCGCCTCCCTACGTAACCAATCGGCACGCACAAAGACACCCTTTCCAGTATACTAGGGTTAAAGATTGACCCTCTAAGTAAGTTAATTCACAGAAAAAGCACGATTAGTATGGAATACCGTTCACATCTTTTCACGTTGCAAGCTGAATAATAGTAAAGTGTAAAAACTAACCGTCGATAACCGTGTCTTGGCCCTTAAGTAAGACATAATTTAATGTATGTATAAATGTGCTCCAACACGCGTTATTATGGAATGCCAGACTCGAAGACCACATTGATGTATTGTGTAGAACAACCAATCATGTCACAGCTATTGGGAGACGCTTCTGCCCATCTCTTGGGTTACCAAGTTATCATAATCAATTTAAGATGAAACACGATTTCGAAATAGAAATAACTAATTTCCCTTTAAATCGAGTATTTATTTTACAAAACCTACCAACTTCGAATGATTAAAACCGCATGTTTTTGTTGTGAATTTTGTACAATGTATTGTTATGTACATAAGTAGGTTTCTGTAATGTTAATACTATACTATATAGAGGTTTTATGTAAATACATAAATTTATTTGTAAATAGGGACAGTGTCCTGCTTATGAAGATTTATTAAAATTTAATTACACAGGTAGCTAATGCCAGATGTTTTTGTAAGAGCAATTGTACAAAAAATACGCCTTAATGGCAATGCCAGATTCTGCTTCATTACTAACATCTTGTTAGGCAGGTGGCTTGCACTTTGTATCGAATTCCTGGCTTTCGAGATCCAAAGTGTTTGCACGTTCTGGAACTATTAAGTTTTATTATTGCAAAGACCGTTTGAGCAAACGGTTTATATCTATGCAACAATAAACAAGAAGTGAAATATGATAAAAATAATTATATCCGAAAAGTAGAAATCTACAGATTTGGATACAGGCGTAGAGATGAAAACATGTTTGCACAATTCCCAGTGCTCAAAGGTTACGTTCAGCCTTTACAAGATTTCTAGTAAACATCTGGCAGTGGTACAGTAATTGCTATTTTCTGATTTTTCGCTGTATGAAAAGTTTATTGTAAATAAAAGAGCTCGATATTATATTGGTTTGATTTTATTTATTGCCTACGTTCCTTCAACGTCAGCATTTTGTTTATATTTTTCCTGAGCTATGGATTAATATATAAATATTGTGGTATACATAAGATTTTAAAAGCAAAAAGTATTAATGCTAAAAATTGTCATTCTTAAGATTTCTTCTCATACTTACAATATCATAATACGGGATTATACCCAAAGCACCGGGTATTAATCCATTTCTGCCTAAATTGGTAGGCAGAAACGGCGAATACGGAATTTGACACAATTCTACTTTATCACAAGCTTGGATGTAAAAAATCTTTTTGACGAAAAAGTTAGTTAGCTACTCCACTTGCAATCTTGTGGATTCTCACTACTAAAGATGGCATTACGATCTAATTTTACGATTCAAGCAATAATCATTTTGTTATAATCATTAAATATGAGCAAAACTCAATTTACAACTAGTATTTGTGGCGTTTATGCTACATAGTACAGGGCTAGCTCCACAGACCACATAAATACTAGCTCAATGAAACAATATGTGTTTACTTCACGTGCACGTGCGATACGTCCACTCACATTACTGTCTAGTGTCGTAAGGGCGGGAACGACGGCCCGCAACTTATATTGTCTAATGTCTATGGTATGTATATTGTGTGCATACACTACAGTATTTCGTTGTAAACAGGTTTTACCCTCGGTTACTAACATCCGGCCCTCGCCTTCTTTCTTCGTTCTTCTGCTCGTAATTTATTGCCTAACCGCCCCTTGTAACAATGTTGTACCATTATTTATCATGATTTTCAGTGCCAGCGTGAGGTATTGGCACTAAAGATTTACAAATATAAGGATCCGTAGATTTCTAAATTAAAGCAACCGTTCTCCCACCGAGCTGCCACCACTTTCCCGCTATGGAAGGCAAACAACTCGCTCATCTGACTCATTTCCCGCCTAGCCCGCTGACTGTGGGAGGCAAATACCTCTTTTCCAAGACATTTATTAAACTTTATTGACCACAACACATAATGTTATAAAAGGCGGACTTAATGCTAAAAGCATTCTCTACCAGTCAACCTTTGAGGAAAACTATATTCACTAACGCGTCAAATTATACAATACCTTTTTTCTTAACTATTCATAACCCTTTCGCAGTGGAAGGCGAGTGTAAGGTAAAAAATAAGCCAAAAAAAGTGTCACTGTTTATTATATGTATGTCTTACCTAGCTTAAATAAAAAAAAATATTGAAAATGTCAAAGGAATGAATATTAACACTAAAGCTCAATTAATAATTTTAAATTTTTGTTTATTTTCGTATCTAGTCTTCATATCCTTCGAGGCTGAGGGTGATGACGTCACTCACGAGGCAGTCAGCAGGCTAAAGCATAAGAAAAACTTTATTAAACTTTGTAATCGGCCTAACACGGGTACGCGTGCAGTCTGATTATCTACGATGTTGCCACTCAGTGTTACGTAAAAAATGTTTTCAGTAAAAGTGGGAATTTCTATTTGGATGCCCCCACTTTTATATAACTAAATAAAATCACGTTCGACGTATCCCGTATTAAGTGATATTGTAACTAAATATTTCAAGTCTTTAGGCACTTGGCAGTAGACGTATTCTGTGCTAAGTGGTCAATATTCACCTCCGAGCAGATGCCGACAAGCGCATCCGAACAGCCGTAAAATTCTTCTTTGAGCGAGATTACTATGGTCTGTAGGGAGCCTTTCTTGCCGCGAATATACGAGGCCACTTTGCCTATGTTCGTGTTGTCAAGGGCCGCATCGATCTCGTCCAGCAGGAAGAATGGTGCGGGTTGATAACTGGAACGTACCAAATAGTTTATTATTATTTGAATATTTTTTCATATGCAATGACGTTAGTAAGAGACGCCATACCTGTGAATGGCGAAGAGCAGCGCTAACGCAGCGACGGTCTTCTCCCCTCCCGAGAGGTTGGACATGGGCTGGAAGCGCTTGCCGGGCGCTACGCAGTTGTAATTGATGCCGTCCAGGTACGGCTCTTCGGGGTTCTCAGGACCGAGAAAAGCCTGTGCCGACTGGTTCATAGCCAGCGACTGTAAGCAACAACGAGTTTCCGGTGAGAATCTCTCTTTGATCGACTTGTTCTTCTACTACGAGAAAAATAAAGAGTTACTTTGTATATAGCATCAATTTCGTTGGCGACGTGCTCGAAGCACGTCATGAACTTGTCATGGCGCTCCTTTTTCACCTTCTCGAAGGCGAGTTTGGCCTTGTGCGCACGTTTCCGGGCCGCCACAAACGCCTCGTTCGTTGCGGACACCTTTTCGCGGACTTCGTTTAATTTCTGCATCGCCTGTTGATAATCATAACATTTGTAATTAAAACGGAACGAAGGGCCATTTCCCAAGGTTATTTCACATATCTATTCGTCGAAAGCGAATTATCGTATGCATGACTTTTAACGACGAACATCAGGCTGACTTCAAATCAGACGGTTAAGGAGCTGGAGGTACTTCTGTTGCTGTACGTGATAGTACTTATCTTTCTTTTGAACCCTAAAGTGCTCGTTTTTTTGACGTTAGTGTTTGTGTTACCAGTTCAAGAATTCATTCTTAACAGTTTTGCAATTTGTCGTAATTATAATCCAAGTGCTTACCCGCATGTTGGGCGCTTGTATCTTATCAACGGTGTTCTGTAAGGTATTGATGGCTTTCTGTAGTTTGTCGGCTTTGCGTTTGATTTCGTCCGCCTCCTCCAAATCCTTGAGTGCTTCTGACAGCATGCTGTAGTCTACGCGGATCCTGACAATATCAACATCCATAATGCAAAGTTTCTGAGATATTTCTAAGATTTCAATGTAAACCTGTTGGAAAACTGTTCCACTTCTGTAAGACTCATTAATTTATTTAAAAGTTTTAACTTGATTAATCTTTTCTTAGAACCAACTCGCATCACTGCCTCCTCTTATACTTGTATTGATAACATCTTTTGTAACACAGACGCCGTGTCCAAATCAATAATAAATTGCTTAAGATCAGACCGTAGCGGCCAATTGGCTTCTTTTAATTGTAAAATGAGCAAGAAGGTAGACCAGTTTCTCTGCAGACCGATTACCACAGAACGAATCATTAGTTTTCAAAATAATATCGGCAATAGTTTAAATTCCCTACCCCATACACCGGAGGTTCCAAATTCTTTATATAGCACGATATTTGGTTTAATTAAAAATGAATTTGATATTGTATTTAAATCGAAAACATTAACTTTCCATAGACAGACTAAATTCAACGACTGGGCAACAGTAGGTTTTCATAAGAGTAGGTTTCGTTTGTATGAGCTATGTATATGCTATGAAAACTTATAATACTAATTCCAATTTCATTGAATATGTTAGAAATTATTCAAAAATATTTAAAAAATTATGTGTAGCTGCCAAGGTTAAGTTTCACAGCGACAAAATTAGACAATCGATAAATAAATCTAAAACTACTTGGAGCACAATAAATAAAGAGTCAGGCAGGATTAAACAACACAATAAAGATATAGTTTTAGAATTAGACAGCAAACTTATAAAATCTAAAGACAAGGTAGCCCAAGCTTTTGAATCGTTCTTTTCGGAAATTGCTGTGAACACTACAGAATCATTAAATTCCTCACCTTCACTTGCTATTGATCTCTTGAAGGAAAATGTTAACGTTTGTGGCAGTTTATTTAATTTCCGTCATGTTAATCCACAAGACATCATAAAAGCCTATAAATCAATATATGTTAAAAAAACTGAAGATCTCTGGGGTATATCAACTAAAGTTATAGACTCAGTTATTGATCTAATTTCCCCACATTTAGCTGTAGCTTTCGATGGGTGCGTTGACGAAGATGTTTTTCCCGATTTAATGAAATACAGCAAGGTTCTTAGGTTTTCGCGATTGTTGCACATAGAAAATTAAACTATTTTTCCGGACTTAAATCGCCTATATTTGTTTTTTCAAACAAACCGACGTTTCGGGCTCTTTACAGGTCCCATGGTCACGGTTGACATGGTCATGGTCAATAGTTTCATAAATAGTTTCATTTTCTACAGCAAGGTTATTCCCTTATTCAAAAGCGGTAGGAACGTTGATCCTAGCAACTATAGGCCCATTTAAATTTTATCAGCTTTAAGTAAAATATACGAAAAGGTTATGCTGACTCAATTATTGTCCTATTTCGGTAGGAATCATATTTTTCATAGAGAACAATACGGGTTTACTAGTGGTAGATTGACTAGCGATGCGGGGGTAGCGTTACTAAAACACATCTTTGACGCTTTGGAAAGGTCCCAGAACGCTATTGGTGTTTTCTGTGACCTCTCAAAGGCATTTGATTGCGTTGATCATATTACTTTTATTAGGAAGCAGGAACATTACGGTCTAAATGGCAAGGCGTCGAAACCTGTTTCGTGATATCTCAACGGTAGAATTCAGAAAGTAGACATAAATGGAGTGACTTCTTTGGGTTCTCCAGTAAAAATGGGTGTTCCGCAGGGCTTAATACTTGGACCTTTCTTATTTCTGATTTATATTAATGATCTGCCATTCTTTGTCACATCCTTGATTTTTAAAACAGACAGACATGAGGCTGACTCTAAGGCAATTTATTGGTTTAATGCTAACAATTTATTGCTTAATGCCAAGAAGACAAAATGTGTTAAATTTGAATTATCTAACGTAAAATCGACTAGTCCAAGCATAGAAATAAACGGAGAAAAGTTAGACCTTGTTAATAAAGCAGTCTTCTTGGGAGTGACCTTAGATAGTAAACTTCAATGGTATCCACATATATCTTCCCTGGCCAGCAGATTAAGCTCCGCTGCATACGCAGTCCGCAGAATACGTGAGCTTACCGATGTTAGTACTGCTAGACTAGTTTAATTTAGTTACTACCATAGTATAATGTCCTACGGGATTCTCATGTGAGGTAAAGTGGCAGATATTCAAACCATATTTCTATTGCAAAAACGAGTGATTCGTTCTGTGTACCGTCTAAGCTCTCGGGTTTCTCTCAGAGAAAAGTTTAAGGAGATTTCAATAAGAAAGAAGATATTCATAATGTTAACCTTAGAGATAAGTCCAAACTCATGGGACCACGATTTCGTTTAACCAAGCGGTAAACAACTCTTATGGGGAACTGTATACGTTTTTACAATAAGATTCCGGGGCATATATTAAGTTTATTATTTCTTAAGTTTAAAAACTACATTAAAAATATTTTGATCGAAAAATCATATTACAAAATTGAAGACTACGTGTTAGATAAAGATGTATGGAAAGATGACACGGCTCCAGAATCCACACAAGTTTGATTCAAAGTGTATTCCATAGCGTTTAAGTTTATTTGAAAAGAGCAATCCCTAGAGTTTCTTGCTCGTTCTTTTCAGGGAGATCAGCGTGTGAACAAGCAGTAGTTTAAATGTGACGTTTTCAGGTGTACATTTATTTTACCTATGGAAAATTATCTTTGACTTTGACTTCACACGTTTCCTGCAAATGCGTTTTCCAAAACATTTTCAGGTAATAGTGAATGATGACTAACCTGGCCTCCCTTTGGTACTGCTGCGTGGTGGAGAGCGAGGAGGGGTCGGACTCTGCCTCCTCGGTGTCGTCCAGCCTGCCCTCCAGCAAAGGAATTTGGATGTCGTCGATCTGGCAATATAATACAATACGGTTAATTGATTACATTACAAAAAGACGTTGAATAAAATCAAGACTCGACGTATCAACCGGGGGTGCCCGTCGTGCCCGTGGGGCAGACCGAGATTGATTTTCTCGAGCCGGTTGACGACGAGACGGAAGTCGACCAATCAAAACGAACCTTGCACTGGCGGAGGATGTTGTGGCGGTCGGAGCGCTTGCTCTCGATGCGGGCCTCGATGGAGGCGATCTGCTTCTGCACGGCCGCGATGTCCTTCTGCACGGCGGCCAGGTCCTTGCGGGCCCGGTTGACGTCCTCCTCGGCGTGCTCCAGCTTGGCCTTGGCGGCGGCGCGGTCGGCCTTGAGCGCGTCGGCCCGGCGCAGCTCCTTGTCGATGTCGGCGCGCTGCTTGGCCTCGGCCTGGCGCCCGGCCTCCAGCTCGTCCTCGCCGTCCTGCACCGTGCGCTCCCAGCGGACCACGTTCTTCTGCGTGTCGCGGCTGCGCTCGAACTCCAGGTTGGACGCGATGCGGTCGATCTGCGCGTCGAACTCCATGCGCCGCTTGGCGCGCTCCTGCTGCGCGCGCAGCTCGCGCTCCTCGTACTGCCTGCGCACACGCAGCTGCTCAGTCGCGGCCCGTCATCACCACCGCACGTCGTCGCGGTCGCACTCACCGGATGTTGGCCACGCCGATGTCGCGGCAGAAGCCCTTGAACACGACGTCCTCCACGTTGTTCATGTTCTCCTTGATCTCCTGGATCTTCAGGTCGCGCGCGCGGATCGTGTGCTCGATCGCTTCGATTTGAGGCTGCCAATTCAAGCGCACGACTCGTTAGTCGCGAAACGAGACGTCGAATCGCATGCGAACGGATGACTTACCACGAAGTTGTCGATCTTTCGCTCCAGTTCCGCGAGCTCCGCATCTAGAGTTTTAATCTGCTTCAACTGCAACGAAACACGAGAAAACGGTGAACCGTTTAACAAATATGAGAAGAACACTAGTGAAGTCTTCTGACCGCGTCATAGAACCAGAGTTGTGGACTGAATCTCCGTGCAGAAGTGAGATGTCCACGAGTTAGCTTACCGTGGTGTCTCTATCGGTGATGGCGTACTTCAATCTCGACTCGAGTCCGCGGATCTGCGAGTCCACCGTCGTCAACTCCGACTCCTTGCGAGATTTCTTCATCGACTCGCGCAGCTCTTCAGTTAGTTTTTCCTCGGGGAACATTTTCAATTAGTATATTTGTTAGACACACGGACACACGCTTGTCTTCCAATGGGGTAACAGAACCTACGGATCTTTGCATAACATTCTTCCGACATACCTCTTTCGCCGTTTTGCTTTCAATTGACGTAAATAGCAAAAAAAGCAATTGTCAAGTGTAACTAAATTGTCGTGTCCGAAAAATATGATAATTGTTTTAAAACCATTAGCAAACCGTTGCACCGATTAAAGGCGACATTTCGTTATAGTTCCGTATTGTTAAAGTTCGTATAGTTACCTTCTTGGCCTTGAGCTGCGACAAGTGCTTTTCGTCCCAGCGCTTGGCCTTGCGCGCCAGGTCCAGCGAGCCGCCGGAGATGATGCCCGACTTCTGGTAGAACGTGCCGTCCAGCGCCAGCGCCTGCGCACCAAACCAGAACCGTCAGGTCTCGGTACGAGCCGCCCGGAGGCGACAACGAGCGGCGAGCACTGACGTCGTAGCGGCTGTTCTTGCTGCGGTCGAGGTCGTAGGCCACGCGCGACGCGTCCTCGGGCGTCTCGCAGACCAGCGCGTTGTTGGTCACGAACAGCACCGCGCGGTGGATGGCCGCCGGCTCGAAGCGCAGCACGTCGAACAGCAGCTTCACGTTCTTCGGCTCCTTGATGTCCCTGGGGCGGAGACGACGAGAAAGCGTGAAAGTGCGCCTGTGAGACGCGCGAGAGGGCGGCGGAGCAGAGTGCGAACCTGAGCCTCTCGCGCAGCGGCTTGGCCTGGATGTAGTCCAGCGGCAGGAAGGTCTCGGGCTCCAGCATGCGCTCCTTGAGCACCTGGATGCAGCGGCGCGCCGTCTTCTCGGTGTCCACGACGATGGCCTCCATGTACTTGCCCAGCACCTTGGTGATGGCCACGTTGTAGCGCTTGTGCGTGGGCTGGCACATGTTGATCATGCGGTCGTACACGCCGGGGATCTCGCGCTTGAAGCTCTCCACGATCTCCTGCTTCTTGCGGCGCCGCGCCTCCTCGTGCTTGTCGACGCGCGCGTCGCCCAGCTGCGCCGCCACGTCCTCCAGCTGCGCCTGCAGCTGCTGCGCGCGGCCGCGGCACTCGCCCACGTCCCGCTGCAGCTCGTCGCGCAGCCGCCGCTGCTCGTCCAGCGCCGCCTCCGAGCCGCGGATGTGCTCGCTGAGCTTCTCCACGCGCTTGGCGGCCTCGGCGCGCTCGTGCCCCTTCTGCCGGTGGCGGCCGTCGAACTCGCCCTTGCGCCGCAGCTCGCTCTCCAGCCGGTCCTGGTCGGCCTTCTGCTCGCGGTTCACGGAGTCCAGCTCCTGCAGGTAGCGCGCCGCCTGCCGCGACGCCTCCATCTTCAGCTCCTCGTACTGCCGGATCTGCGCCTCCTCCAGGTGCACGTCGGCGCGGCCCGCGTGGCTGGTGCCCGCGGCCAGCTCCCACGCGGCCTTCTGCTCCTCCACCTGCCGCAGCTCCTCCTCCAGCTTCCTGATGTCCGCCTGGTGGGCCTCGTTGGCCTTGCGGGCCTGCTCCAGCGTTTTCAGGGCGCTCTCGAGTTTCTTCTGCGTGTGAGTCACCCGCTCCTTCGCTTTGATGAAGGTCGGCCGTTTTTTGGAGATGTCCGCTTCCTGCAGATCGGAAAGTGTACGAAAATTCTTTACCGTGTTCAACAAAGGAAGTTAAATTCTTGTCAATTCGCCCAACACCAACCGGTACGTGACGAATCATAACAGATCACTTACCGCTTCCCGAATCTCCTGCTCGATCTTAGCTAGCTCCCTCTGTGCTGCACCAGTTTCTTTCTTCTTCTCCTTCAAAGCGTCTTCGGCCTTCTGCCGCTTCTTCTCGATCTTGGTTAACTCGTTCTGTTTGTGCTGTAATTCTTCCTCGTAGTTCTGAATCTCCCGCTCGTTGTGGTACAAGTGGAAGAGCTGGAGCTCTACTCTTTGTTCTTGCTGTTAATGGAAGAGAAATTATTGAGTTCATTTGTTAGTTACAGTGCAGTAGTCAAAACAAATTAGCAAGTAAAAATTGCGATAGCTCCACATTGAATTTATTACGTGTATTCAGTCAGAGGGACCATGCCCTCCAACAACGACGAGTTTTCATGGTTTTTCGGTTTGATATCTCTTTTCCTCCTTATTTTCTTTAGACCCCTTAATAAAACAGAGCCTCATTACAGCTCACCAGTTCATCCTTGAGTCTTGAATACTTCTCGGCCTCCTCCTTCTCAAATTTGGCCTCCTTCCGTTCCGCGGCCACGCCCCTCTTCTTCTGGTAGGAGAACTGCGCTTCTTCGTCCGCACGGTTCACCTCGGCGCGACATGCCTCGTACTGCTCCTTTAGTACTCCCGATCTACAGACAAATGTTTCTTACTACTTTTATTACTAAGACCACCATAGCATGTCTCTTGTTCATGACGTTCCAATGCATTATTTGAAATGCATTTTACATTGGTTTTAAATCAACATAAATACAATTATGAATGAAATTGCTAGAAAAATTAACATAAAAGTTTGAATACTTTAACAAAATCTATCATTTTTGTCAAACAGTACTCCGCTTGTTATCTCAACAAAATGTGGTATTCTGATAGACCATGAGTTTACCTGTCCCAACATCCAACCATGTTGATCACTGCTATTACCAAAATAGTGTATCTATATCTTACCCACTGATCTCCTCAAAGAGTGCAGTTCTCTCCTTAGGGTTCTTCATAGCTATACTCTCAACGGCGCCCTGGAATACAAGAAAGTTCTTCGCTTTTACGTTGATGCCCAGCTTCTCCAGCTCTGCCAGGTATGTGGATGAGGACACTGACTGAAAACGTTAATATAATTAGCAAGACTGAAGACGAAATTTGTCATCACAATGTCATGATGAAATGGTAAAAAATTCTAGTAAACTGCCAACAACTGTTACTTTAAAACACTCACCTGCCCATCAATTTTGTGATCTGATGATTGGCCAATGACAGATCTTTGAAACTGCTTCTCTGTCATGTCCTCCAGCACAAAGGTGGCTGTCACTGATGCACTGGCAACAAACAGTAAATTGAATTATCATTGGAAATGAAACTATTTTTTTAGATCTAAATTAGAGGAGCATATTATGTTTAGATTTTTGTGAACATCGATTCAAGTGTATATGATCTAGCAATTTTTCATATCATTTCCTTTCAATGCAATTTTAAAGAAAATTGATTTAACATTAAAGCAAATTGTCTTGTCACCTACTGAATCGTAAGTTTAATCCTATTTAATACTTGTCTGGAAGAGAAATAGTTTGGCAACATCTAGGTACAAATAAGTCTATGATCTTTGGCTATTGTGGCTACTTCTGTAACATCAAAACATTTTTTCCCACTGGCATCACTCTAAAGAAACACAACCTACTGAGGCCGAAAAGGCTTTTACAACTGATTATTTTTTATCTAAATTTATTTTAAAACTATTTTATGAGATTGATTCAAGAGCATATAATCCGAACTGTTTATCGATTCCAAGGTATGTGATCCATTACAATCCAAAAACCAATTCAAAGCAAAGAATGGTGCATCGCTAATCTAAATTATGTATATTTGTATTAAAACCAATGTTTCACGATCTTTACAGGATCCATGGTCACGGCTGACCATGCCATAACCATGGAACCTGTAATGAACTGCAAATGTTAGTTGGCCATGATCATGGGACCTGTAGAGGCTGAATAAACTACTACTACTAATACTTGATTCAGTACAAAAAAATAATTTTTGATTTCTAATGAGTAGTAATTGTGAAAACCTAAGAACTCTATACATTGAAATATCATGGAATTGCAATCATCATTTGAGTCAAATTCAGCAGTTTGAATCATTCTGGACACTTATATGTAAAAATTAAGCAATAACTTACAAATAAGTATTTGCAATGAACTTAACAACCCTTATAACTTGAGGGTGACTGACTGACAGAGCATTTATCTCATGCAATTGTTTCTTATGGTGCCTGACACGTTGACTAACAATTTTTCTTTTTCAGAGCTGTTTTAAGACTTGCGAATGCAAATTACATACACAATTACATATTGAATATCCATAGCCAGTTTGTCGTTTTCAAAAGTTTTAAATTTACATAGAACTCATCTCACTGGCAAAGAAAGATGAGTAAAGGCTGATAATATCATATTTATTTTTATTACTATTTAAACATAAAAAGTCATTCTTCAGTGATTAACAAAAGTTGGACTAAATAGATCAAACAACAAACACAAAAATATATTTTAAAAAAAATCCGTTTATGTATGCCTTTTCATAAACCACTTTCCACAGACTGATTAGTAATAAACAGGTTAATAATAAAGTAAAACTTTCTACTTTTTTTATTAATTATATAGTTCATTTACAAAGTCCAATTTTGGCAAAGGTTTCAATGATATCTACTTTTAGGGGAAAGACTCTTAATAACTACACTTCACAATTTTTATATTATTGTCATATATTATTGACATTCTCTTACAAATGTGTTACATTAAGGGTTGTATTCTAGAACTCTACTCAATGCTCAAGTCAGGATTTGAGTGTGGTTTAAAGCACTCAAAATCATATTCAAGTCCCTGACATTAGGGTCATATTTCCAGTCAAAGTCAAAGTCAAAGATTATTTATTCCATAGGTAAAATAAATTTACACTTGAAAACGTCACATTTTAAGCTACTGCTCGTTCACTACGCTGACCTCCCTGAGAAGAACGAGCAAGAAACTCTAGGGATTGCTCTTTTCAAATAAACTTAAATGCTATGGAATACACTTTCAATCAAATTTGTGTGGATTTTGGAGCCATGTCGTCTTTCCATACATCTTTATCTAACATGTAGTCTTCAATTTTGTAATATGATTTTTCAATCAAAATATTTTTAATGTAGTTTTTAAACTTAGGGAATGATAAACTTAATATATGCTCCGGAATGTTATTGTAAAAACGTATACAGTTCCCCAAAAGAGTTGTTTACCTTGGTTAAACGAAATTGTAGTACCATGAATTTGGATTTAGCTCTAAGGTTAATATTATGGATATCTTCTTTCTTATTGAAATTATGTTTATTTTTACGGGCATATAAAATATTTGAATAAATGCCACAGTCATGATACCAGTCTTCTTAAACTTTTCTCTGAGAGAAACCCTAGAGCCTAGACAGTACACAGAACGAATCACTCGTTTTTGCAATACAAATATGGTTTGAATATCTGCCGCTTTACCCCACATGAGAATCCCTTAGGACTTTATACTATGGAAGTAACTAAAGTAAACTAGTGTAGCAGTACTAACATAGGTAAGCTCACGTATTCCGCGGACTGCGTAAGCAGCGGAGCTTAATCTGCTGGCCAGGGAAGATATATGTGGAAACCATTGAAGTTTACTATCTAAGGTCACTCCCAAGAAGACTGCTTTATTAACAAAGTCCAACTTTTCTCCGTTTATTTCTATGCTTGGACTAGTTGATTTTATGTTAGGTAATTCAAATTTAACACTTTTAACTCAAGTCAGGATTGCAATTGTTTCAATTGCAATCCTGACTTGAGCATTGAGTAGAGTTCTAGAATACGACCCTAAAGGTTTATTTATAATTATGAGTACAAATAAAGGGTTCAGTTTCTTACCTCCTGGACACGGGCTTGTTAATGGAAGCTCCATGAATAAGGTCACTCAACCTCTTAACTCGCAGGAGTGAGGTCTTTTCCCCCATCACAAAACTCACAGCGTCCATGAAGTTAGATTTACCTGTTTGACATAATACATCAATTTGTATTTGAAATGTGCAAAGGTACGAGAATTGCAATTTCAATAGTTTGGTGGCTGAAATTGAGGTCGAATTCGAGGATTCAAAGTTAAAATGTACATACATAGAATGAAGCCAAAATGGAATAATCGGAAATTTTAAGGTAGTGTAAACCTTATATGGAAGAGCGCAATAAAAGCTTCGTTTACCAGAACCATTCGGCCCAACAACGGCGGTGAAAGACTTCAGAGGTCCTATCTGGTGGTGACCCCGATAGGACTTGAAGTTCTCCATATCTATATACTTCAAGAACGCTGGCATGATGCCGATTCACTAATTTAATCCGTTCACAGCATAAAAATAATAATTTATTTCAGAAAAACATTGCGCCAAAAATAATAACAACCGCCACCGCACTTGTCAATCCGCCATTTTGATTAACTTTAGGGAGGTGCACGAACCGATAATCGTCGAATGCGAAATCGATTTATATTGCAAAAGTGTATCCGAACGTAAACACGCTATATAAATGCATGCACACGGACTTGTATATTAAACTGACCGCGCAATAAGGTAATAAAACGAGCCGAGTGAGAGGCTTCAAAATAGTAATGCATCTCTTTCTAATAGGTGTTCATTCTCGTTTCAGCCAGCCATATTGTTTTTAACTTTAGAAAATGTGGCCGCTTGCTTACAAATTAGTATACTTATTTGATACGCTACTTCATAATAGAAGGTTTCATTGTTGATATATTTTTTTTGTATTATTACAGTAAAGTATTTTACTTAAAACAAACCTTAACATAACCCAATAAGGTGTAAATTTCTAATATTTGTATATCGAAGTGCGCAATCCAGTTTATGAAATGTATAAATCCGTGTGCATACACTATCCGATTTCAAGGAACGCTAAATCTAATTTAAACACACGGATACACTACCCAAATTTAAAGGTCTAGTGACCCTCTTTCTTACGAAGCTGCATTTACAATTAAGAAGTTAGGGTCTCTAGTTTTAGCGACATATCTATAGGACGCTTATTATATTACCCGATTTCAAGGAATCCTAACAAATTTAGGCAATTAGCGTCCCTATTTACAACTAAAGATAACAGCAGCCGGCGCCCTAAGTAAGGGCAACCCTCGGCTTAGACGCAGGGATCTTGAAAACCGATAGTGTAATAAGCGTATAAGTTAACAAATGGCCCAACCTTGATGCAGGGCCTTTGAAATCGGGTAGTGTTATAAGCGTATCGCGTAGCGTAAGTGAATTTTAAAGCGACCATTTCGAACGATACAGAAAACGGTTGCCTATCAAGTAATTAAGTACTATTTCCAAAAGAACACGCGTGAACGATCAGGAACGTGTATATGTACTCAAAACTTTACAGGTGTTGTGCATGCGATTTCCTTTTCAGTAGTAGTTGGTTCAGATACTGCTTAAATCTGATTAGGATTACTAATGTAAACAGACAATAATATATGGTTGTATTATATAATATAATGTATGCATAATATTATTATGTAAAATAAAATGAGGAAGGAATACAAGATTTGTTTTTTTCTTAACTGATATGTCAAAAGACATATCGATAATTTTTATCCAAGCCTAGTCGTCTGTTTAATTTTGATAAGTATCACTAAAATAAATGGCGGGGTTTTGAAGTTACAACTACGACTTTACAAAGATTATTTTAATTTTAAGTATATTACGAAAAAAATACGAAGAAAAAAATAGTGATAAAGAAGGTTAGAAACATATGCCTTATTTCAAACCAAATTACAAAAGACTATTCTGAAAATTCCACTAATTACGAATTCAAAGTTTTTTTAAAGTGACAGTAATGTGATTTAAGTGAAAGTGAAAACATAAATATTGACTACCGCCGACTAAGACTATTTACAAAATCCCAAACTAGAGAAGTAAGTTATTTATGAGAAAGTGAAAACATAATGTATGTGTACATATTATATATACATACTAGAACCACAATGGAAACGAAGACATGTCTCATAGGACTTGTATCCAAGCCACAACTCTTAATAAAAAAAAAGATAAGTGTCACTTTCTGTATTCCTGTATTCGTATTATATCTTTCTAATTTGTGCGGTATTCAATTCAAGATACTCTTTGATTCAATTTGCAAAGCAAAGCCGTTACAAAGTGCAAAATAAATGCTAGAATATTAATCGAGACACGCAGTATGAATAGCGATCGGAGTCCTACCATTACTCTTGAAAGTGGTGACCAAGACCAGGCCGTACTCATGGATTCCATTGATCACGAACGCAGTCGATACCCTTATTGCATAGTTTGGACGCCGATTCCTGTTTTAACGTGAGATTTTTTCTCTACATCCTGCCGAATTTTGTCATTTACTCCATCACTGCATTATATTCTTCAGATAATTATTTCCCTTAAAAATTTTACTTGATGATGACAATGATTTTTCAAAACTTCAGTTGGATGTTTCCCTTCCTCGGGCATATGGGCATTTGCACATCTACAGGAGTTATCAGAGACTTTGCGGGACCTTACTTCGTCTCAGAAGACTTGATGGCGTTCGGCAACCCCACAAAGTATTGGCAGCTGTCACCACAGAGAGCCAACAATGGACAGGCGGGTTGGGATGCTGCCGTTGCCGAAGCGTCCGAGATTTACAAAAAAAGAATGGTAACTCGCATTGAATTTCATGATTATTTTATAAATATATAATTTTACTGGAGAAAAAGTGTAACTTTAAAAACTAGTAGTTGTTCCAATAAAAATATTTATTTATACATAAAAAGAAATTAAATTTTAATAATAGTTATGTCCTAGAAAACCACACCAATTACCTGAACACCAAAGCAATTGAATTCACTCTGGGAGTACCCAGAACTCCCAGATCAGTACTAATTTAGAAAAGTTTACCCAAATTGGTCACACGGGGAAAGAAACCTTCAACCTCCTCTACCAATGCCAACAGTGCCAACAATTGGGCCACTATGGTCGTCTTGCTTACTGAATTTGAATGGATCTGTTTGTAAACATAGCAATTGTATTTATCAATTTTCAGCATATAATATTCTATGATAACTGTCACTCGCATGTGGCAAAAGCACTGAACATAATGAACTACAATGGCTGCAAGAACTGGAACATGGTCAAGTTGGCTCTCTACATGATACCATATTCAAAATATGTCAGGTAATAATTACTGTTATTTTATGATACTACATAGTTATTATGTTATGTTGTGGTTTTGTACATCATTTTGTTGAGAAAACCCTTGTGGAACATTAATTGCCCATGTATTGATTTGTTCTCTCTCACTTGTTTTAAAAACCAGTGTCATTGGATAGCTTTATGTATGAATTGTTAGTTAATTGGTATTTTTATGGAAAAAGTATAATTATGTACCTATAATTTATAGATAGTGACTTGTGTCTACTTTTTTGAGTACTTGTGCTTATGTTCGCCCTGGATACATGGCTCCTTTTGAGTATTTTTGCACTGTTTATTTACCTTTTGGGTCTGTGAACCATTCCTATCACAAGCGGCATAGGGTTAAATATTGAAATTTAATTTGAAATTAGATGTATCGCATTGCAATTAACAATTATCTGGAAGAGAACTTATCCTTACCTTACTTACCTTAAAGGTTTATCTGGATAGACCTGGCTAGAGTAGAACAGCAGTAGTACATAAAACCAAGTTATTATATCATAACCTAAATTTTATTTACCTCAGGGCTGTGTTTGTAATTGTTATGAAGTAAATCAATTTATGTGTTGAAGGGATGGGGACATGGTGTTTTGACTTGAAAGTGCGTGGAAAATACTTCATGAATGAGATGGAACATTTTTATTTATATTCTCAGAACTCTACTCAATGCTCAAGTCAGGACTTGAGTATGATTTAAAGCACTGAAAATCATACCATTAGGGTCGTATTTCCAGTGCTTGAAATCATACTGAAGTCTGCTCAAGTCTTGACTTGAGCATTGAGTAGAGTTCTGGAATACGACCCTAAGTCTCTCAGCCAAAGACCAAAGGTGTTTGACCTGTGGTGTGTGACCAACAAGGGATGGAGAGAAGCATGTTACACATCAAGCTGAGAGACAAATAGAGACTCCAGAATTAGGAAGGCAACCAAGGTGACAGATGTCACAACAAAAATCAAAAGACTGAAGTGGCGCTGGTGTGTACACACGGTAAGATCAGCAAAAGAAAAGTGGTCAAAATATGTGATCATTGGTATCCAAGAGTTGGAAAGAGGCATAGAGGAAGGCCAACAAGAAGGTGGGAAGACGATCTGCCCCGAGAATGACGCCGGTCCGCATAAGACCGTATCTTATGGAGAAATATGGAGGAGGCATATGTCAGAGGACAACCTGATTAGAACTAGAATTGATACAGATGTTAGAATTAAGAATTAATTCTATTATAAGTAAGCATTAGGGTAGACTTAGAATTAATTTAGATTTAGAAGTAATCAATGAACAAAGACTATTTTTATTTATTTATTTATGCAATTGTAATGCAAACTAAAATCATGAATGTCTATGAGGAATTGAAATGTAACAACGCCATTGATAAACTAGCAACTACACATATAGTAAATTGCAATTACAAATTGTGTTTAACTATTTTGCCTACTTAAAAAAATTTGTATGTGACTTCTTATACATATATTATACCTCTTCCATTTATTCCATTTACACTTCTACATTAATTATGTGTTTATGTCGATGCATTTGTATAACTTTCTGACAAGGAATAATAACTACTTTTTACTACTGTATTGTATTTAAACTTCTGAATTTTTTATTACAGTTTTGCTGCATTCCTGAAAACGTGGCTACCATTCTTCATCATAGTGGCATTTATATGTGGCCTAGCAGCAATCATATAAATAAGTTTTTCTTATTGGAGAGTAAACTCTAAACTCAAGTGTCAAGTTGTGTGACTCAAGAGGAATGGGCAATGTGAAACTTAAAGTGTAACATGTGACATGAGTGAACTTCGTAAAATGCTACTTAAACGATTTTGGTGTAACAGCATTGTTATTGTAATTTTTGTAAGCATTTTTGCAAACTATCAAGAATTGACTGACGCAATGTAACTGTTACAGACTAGACGCACTGGAATTACATTCATCATATTATAAAATTCCTGTGGTACTTTAGACATTTTGATTAATTCCACATGGATTTTAGAAGCTGCTCTTAGTGCTAGCAACATTGTACAAGTTATTAATTACTAAAGAAAGCAACATCCTTAAAGAGCCAACAATGAGTGACTGATTTACAGAAATAGTATTTTTACTATGAAGTTTGTAAAACTGGTGTCAGTAAGGAAGAAAAATTGTATTATACCTTATTTGTGAACTATAATCGGAATGTGATATAGATATGTATTTCTAGTGGTTTTTATTGTCTCCAAGTGGGTCAATGGGATATGCATAGGTTATTTAAATGTTTTTTAACAATGTAATGTCTGTGTAAATATGTTTTTTTCTAGTGGGTACTTTATTTTTTTACTGTTAAACAAAACAAACAAAAAATTCACTTGATACACACTCAGAAAATCCAAATAAGTTTTATTTGGATGCTTGTTATAGCTTATTGTTTTTATGTATCAAAGATACATGTGAAATTAGCACATCTTATTTACTTTGATACTTTACTGTGTACAATATACTCCAATCAGTGTTGAGTCTCAGTAATTTTTAAAACATTGGACACACAGTATTATTATATTTATCAATGATGGCGTGGAAACAAACAATAAACTTTTAGCCAGCACTGACAGACTTGATAAAGTTTACATTATATATTTATGAGACCTACCAATTCAAAATATAAAAACAGAATGTGCTCATTCTCCTATTAATATTCCTAGTTGTAAATCATGTATCTAAGGTGTAATTAAGTTCTTTTCAAAGATATTTTCTGTATATTGTGTAAATAATAAAATATCATTCCTGATCGAAAATTTTATTTACATTATTTTCCTTATATTTTTTAACAGATTGATTTTTTTCAAATTACACAATTTTAATAAACAATCAAGGATTGTATTATAAATATTAATATTATGTACATGTCAAAGAGTTAATTTTGTAGTTTCTCCGAGAGCCAACAATCAGATACATTGTATATTTCATTCGTTAGACTGATTTTACAATAAAGTTAAATGTCTGGTTAGAGAAGTGACGTTTTGTTAATTTTTGTTAATGAAATGATGACCATTATTATCTGAATTCTCTATACACTTCCATGATAACATAGCATAAAATAAAGTTCACGATTTTGTAATGACTCATCATTGAAGCTGTTAACACTCCTTCAATACACTTTTTTCCACTGCAAAATCATATTCATATTCATATACATTGAGTTTAGTCGTGAGGAACGCCAATAAATCTCCAATTTCCGTTGTAAATGCTCCTTTATTTGAAGCCAGTCTTAGTTCTTTCGACAATGTGAAAGGCACGCCCTGAAGGTAGTGAAACGTCTGGTCCAGAGCAGGTCTGTAAGCTGGGATTGGCGTAGGAGGGGCAGGTCGCTGAGGATGAGGTACTCCAGGCCCTGGTGTACCACTCACCCTAGGATACAAGCCGCCTCTTGAAGCTGCTCCACCGTCCACAATCTCAAACTCATCGTCACTCCTTGGCCCCGGTATTGGCGGTGCGTCATCCTCTACCGGAGATGATCTTCGTTTACCAAATAGAGAAGAAAACATATTTAACTAATTCTGACTCGAAACACTGCTTTTATCACGTTTCAACGTAAATTCGCTATTTGTTTTGTTATCAAATGAAAATACTTTGCGGACCACAATGAACTTTGTTTTGACAGCAGATTAAATGACATCTTAAAAGTTACGGTTTTCTATTTAAAAATCGACACATCGTAATCAATCTGTATTCAACATTTTAACTGGTTTTTTGTAATTAATTTTAATGATAGCCAATAACAATATTTCAACCGATATATTCTGGATTTGATTAAAAAATGTCGGGTAAAATAAAAAAAATTACCGTGTCATGTCAATATTCATATTGTTCAATACATTTATTTATTGTAAACATGTTAACTAACATGTACGTTAATTATTGCGGAAAGTAACACTTATGCCGAACATAAACAATAAAATATCGGCGGACATCAGCATTGTTTGAACTTAGTGTTCATTGCGGACATGTTGGCGAACATGGGCAACACGACATGCTCGCTGATGAGTGGGAACTATCCTTAAATATAAATATAAACTATCCATAAATATAAACGTCAAATAGGTAAATTCGGATACACATTTACAATGAAAAACCGACAAACTAGATTACGGTTCTAACAGTTATGTTTTCATCGTGCCTAAATTTGCCATTGCATTGGCTGTAAAATCTGTTCAGAATCCTATAGACCAATGAAAAGCTAAAACCACGTTAACTGCGTTATACTAAAATGTAAATTAGAAGTATTAGAACAAACTATATATTTCTCGACGTTGGAAAAGTGTGTCAAAAATGGGCAAAACAACAATTTTCAGCTTGTTTTGAAAAGATTACCTGGATTTTTTCATTTATGAGAAAAGATGTTTATAAATCAGCAATACGTATCGGTATAACCGCGGCCATGTGCTCTGTATTTGGTGATTAGTTTTAAAAACAATTGTGTGAGTGTCGTGGTTCCAGCATCTTTGGACTCCAGCTGGTCAGTATCACATTTTTTTTTCCAAAACCTTTAAAATTTCTCTGTTCACAAGTCTTGCACGACACGGGGGTTTATAATCTAGCATTGTGAATAATTAGTTTATATTTTTGTTAATGTTTTAATCAATTCTTATAACAATAATTCGTAGTTTTGAATAACTTACGAATTTTTGTTTACGCTTCTTAACTTTGTAGTTCTGAACTTTTACAAATATTTCAAACACGTCTAGTAAGGTTTTTATCTCTTACACCAAGGATACAGTTATGTTGAACTGATCTACATGGAAAGAAATTGAGTATAAAAACTGTCTGTAAGCATCTGCCATTAAGCGTTTCGCTTCTGTGCACGGATCACCCTGCATGGCACTGGGCCATATTCCACAATGCCGCCCCAGTGTTGGTTAAGCCTTTACACTTCTAATAGACACTATATATACTTACTATGTATTCTTATATTCTTTACCAAAATGCAATTAAATCATCCATTATTTATTAAATACATACAGGTAGTATGTCTATTTCTATGATTATAAAGTATAAGCATGGCCCTTATCTAAATGATTGCCTATGGTACTATGGAATATTTTACCTTCTGTTAGCCCTCTTCCTATTTTTAACTTTTCAAATATGAATTTCAATAATTTTTCATGGTTTACTGTCTGTAGCCAAGGTGACCTAATTTTATTAAGTGGTTGTAGTTAAACATAAAGGTTCCAGTGCACATCCAGTCATTTTCAAGATATGGCAGTTTGAAATTTAAAAGTGTTTCTCACTTTGTTTTATTTTCAAAACTTATAATGTCATGTAACTGCAGAGATATTTATTTATGTTTATATGTAGGATTTTTTTGCTGATCTAAAAGGTTAGACTTTAGGAACTTTTTGGTACATACATATAACTAATGTTTTGATAATTTTGTGGATTGGATATCTATTGCTTAACTATGTCCAAGTAGGGTCTGGTTAGAAAATTTTAATTTGGTCAATTATATTAATATAAGAGCCCGTTGGTCGGGCTCGGCCTGCGGCGCATGGCCGGTTTCAGTTTCCGGGGTGTGCTCATGCTCATCGGTGGCACAGCAGTTAGTACTTTGGGCACTTGATGAGGTCAATTCCCGATTTATGCCAATTTAAGAAACAAACATTTCTAAGTTAGTTGTGGTCTGAGTATTCTGGGTTATCGTTGATTTGGTACTCATAGTACCTACATAGTACAGGAAATTCGGCAGTAGTTTGGCATTTTTTCCCCTTAAATACTTCTCTTTAGCATATCTTTCAAGAAAATGAAATCTAACATAGAGATGGTTGAGATACAACAATGCTCTAATAAGTATCTCATTTCAACTACATCGGGAAGCATGCTTTACATTTTTACAATTGTGAGATCTTGTACTCGTAATCTATTACGTCTCCGTATATTATCTTCACTTGATGGCGTGCGGACGCTTCGGGCTTCGCCCTCCGCGGACCTCAGCCTCCGTCCTCGGCACTTATGGCTTTGTTTAAAAAAAAAATTAAATAGCTCTTTAATGGCGGCCATATTTAAAAATTGAAAGAAAAAGAAAGAAAAAAAAAGAAAAATAATTTATTTGGCAACATTTTACAATAAATAATACAAAACAAACACAATTATACATTATATGTTACCAAAACGGTCACCACTCAGCTTTGTGTAATGAGACGTTGAACGTTGGAACGCCTCATTACGCTGGTTTTCAGTGGCACCATATATTGACAAAAAGAAAGATGGCGCCTCGTCCAAGCAGGCGGAAAGGTAAAATAAAACAAAAAAGAAATATAAAGATTAGGTATAAAACTTAATTACAAATATAAATCAAAACTTAAAATATTAAACAAAACCATAAACTAATCCTAACATAGATACATAATAATAAAAATGAAATAAATACCAAAAATGTGATTATAATGTAGTGTAAGTGAGGTGAGTATACGTAGTGTAAGTGAGGTGAGTATATGTAGTGTAAGTGAGGTGATTAGTGTTAACACATTGTACAAATTGGCTCTGATCACTTTTTAAGATCTTTGCAAGCAATGCACGACTACCTTATGTAGTGAGATTATAATTGAGTTGATAATAAAAACTTCTTATAGGCTAATTTAAAAGAGGCAACAGATTATAGAAAAATATATTTTGACCACTAATTATTATCAAACAATCTTAGAAATCTTTTCATGTCAAATTTCAGTCCGAGCAAAGCAAGTTTTTTCAATAGCCATTTACATAAAAAATTACGGCTATGTCGAAAAACGGCAGAAACAAAATTTTTACCCCAAATTGTGATTGAAGCCATGCCATTTTCAGTCGAATTAGAATAAATTTTTATCTACTAATTCGATTTTTATCTGATACCAAATTTTTATCTGACGCAAAAAAAGTTTGTATGGCAGCCATATTGAAAAAAGGCGAAAAATAAATTTCGACCGCAAATTATTATCCAACACCTATAGAGATCCCCACATATCGATTTTCAGTTGAATTAGAGCTAATTTTTATTAGTTGTTGAATGGCGGCCATATTAAAAAATGGCGAAAACCAATTTTGACCACAATTTATTATTCGGCATTTCTAGAGGCCTCCGCATGCCAATTTTCAGCCGAATCAGAGCAAGTCCGTTTCGGCAGCCACTTTTGACGAAAAAATCGCTTATATGACAGCCATATTAAAAAATGGCGAAAAGAAACTTTTGACCCCAAATTATGGTTAAGAACTCCTAAAGACCCCCGCATACCAATTTTCAGCCGGATCGAAGCAAGTTTTACTTCGGCCGCCATTTTTAATTCTTCCTCCATCTTGTTTTTTTTAACCCAGGCAGTTGAAAACTATTAATCTTTATGACATTCCTTCGAGCACCTCCTACATATCTCTAATAGTTTCCGTGATAGGAGACTTCGAAATTTGTATGGCGGCCATCTTATTTATTTGAATTTCAAACATTTTTAACTTCCGACGGATATTGACCAGGGTGTACCTCATAAAAGTGCACAAATATTCCCTCCATCTATTATAGTTTTTGCAGGCCGTCGATCACTCTTTCATATTTTCCACATTTAGGTCTTCTCGTATTTGATTCTTTGCTTTGGAATCTATTTCTATCAGTGAGTAAGAACTTGTAGCTTTATATATATATATATATATAAAATTGATAATTGACGTTGAGTTATTCAAACCAGGCCGTTATACTATTCCTTATGAATGAAATTTAAGTAACAGGGTCAGGTGAGAGATAAGTCAGGGTCTAATTAGAAAAGGTCTAACAGCGTATACTAGCTCAAAAAACAAAAATCTAAGCTTTAATCTTGTCTAAAATGTCTTAGATCTAATAATTTATATTATTTTATAACTTATATTGATGTTTAAACATAGTCGGACTCTAGGAACAAGACTGAAAATGTAAATTAATTTATTTAATTTCTTCTTTTTTTATTTTTGAAGTACGCCAGGACTTTTTGGCATTCCCTAATTTAATAAAAAATACAGTTAAAATAATTTTAATCGAAAACTAGGTGCTTCGTAACAGTCCACAACTATCCAATAAACATATATTCAATTATTGGTTTCCACTTGTTACAGAATAATTGAGAAACATTGATCCAAAAATTTTCTGTTTTTTAATATTAATTATGTTAGGAATAAAGCCAAGAAAAATAAGCAAAGGTGGCAAATTTGGCTTAAGGCAAGTGTGCCAAGTGGTTGATCCTAGTTTGGTGCTATATAAACCGCCATCCTGGGTTGAAAAACCTGCTAGGTCCTGGCCAGGAACGCAGAATATCCACAAAATCAATGGGATTTTACTAAACAAAATATTAATTAAATAAAACTTAAAAAATCTTAGGCCTAAGAGCATCCAAACTTTTTCTTTGGCTTTTTAATCGTCTATACTTACTTTAAAAATGTTGGGAAAAACTGCAGTGGACCAGTGTATAGTCGTCCAATGCTATGACCTGACTTCTGTCTTTGGAAAAGTTGCTTTTCTAAGGACAGTGTGCTGTATGTGGGCTAATTATAACAGGCGCAATTTGAATAAATTGTATTACTTGTAATTGTATTGTAATTCAAATTTGTATGCCTGTAGATATGAATCTACTATAATTTGACCTATTGTTATAAAACTTGTTATAGGAAGTGAAACCATCAGGATGGCTGATGATCCCGGACAGTCATCATCATCATCTCACTCAGGTAAGTTTTTTTACAATTGGTTTTCCTATCTATTACAATCCATTAATGACATTGTGAGGGCAAGACTGACAGAATTAACATGCTGTAGTATTTTTCTGAACTCCATTTGTTTTGACTTCCTATGTCTGGAGTATATATTTGGCCGAGGATATAAAAGGCCAACTATCAAAACTGAAAATATTTTTAATTGTCAGATTTCGCTTCGTTTAAATTCCTGTACTTATTCGTTAGGCAGATTTCCCTGAGACGAATGAATGAAACTCTAGTAGTTGCTCTTTGTAAACAGACTTCTGTTCACATTTATCATCTACAAAATTTATTTCCAATATAGTAATTTCGTATATGATGTCACAGCAGTGGCATAGGACGTGCACAGGCATCTCATCCTCGTCATGACAATCTATAGACTGCTTAATTACGGCTTGAGGCACGTGGTTATTCAAACCACAGTGTCATATGAGACCTATAATGCGGATTCCCACGGCCTGTGATATTACGGGCCGCGTCGCGCTCACACAAACGCGTCACAGGCAAAATGCCTTTACAGGGGAGTCAGCCGGCACGCGCGGCACTCTTCTCAAGGCGCGGCGTGTCTGTGGAACCACGGGCCGTGGGAAACCAGATTTAAACAGCTTTAACGTATTTGGCGGTAATCGAGGCTTTCAATTGTTTGAGACCATTGGCATGTATCTATATATATCTATATATATCTTGGGAAGCAACATTGCATTGTTCCGTGAGCAGTTGCTGGTTAGGTTATATGGAATCCTATTTAAGTTTCCCTAGATCTAGTTTTAGCAAGCTTATTATTGTATTAAACCCGATGTTCAGTTTATAGCAAAATGAGGATCGCTGTCCATATGCACCACAGCCTGCATTGGGTCCCTTTTTTTGACCTTCGGTATACTACAAAAGGCCTTCAGTCTGGTCTGGTTAGTTTCATCCTTGCAGATGAAACTGTCCAGACCTCCCTGCTGAAAGTTCTACTTCTAGAAATAGAGTTTTAAAAAGTTCGGTTCGGGCAGTGTAACAGTAGACGTAAGAGCGCAATTTGTCCTCAGCTGGTCTGAGCTAGACCTGACCTCCTTTTGTATAAATGCATGACTCGGGTGAGATGGACGTGGCTCCCGTAGTAAAAGGGCATGCAGTACGATGTAAACTACCCAATTTGGCCTTGAGAAACGTATATTAGTCATTTCGGTCAATACTTTAGTCGTGGTAAAAAGAGTCTGATTTAATATTGTCAGCACTAACCAAAATTGTTTCTATAGTATCCAATTTCTATTATAAACAAAGGACAAATCCAAAATGGTCACGTCTACCACTATTTCCTGTTAAACCCTGCATTGTCTATTGCATTGGTTTTGCGAAATTGATCTATCACTATTCGATCGGGATACTTCAGTCATATAGGAACCGCGCACGCTTTGCCTGTGCTTACCGCTTCTGGCAGTAGGTACCTACTTTACGTTTGTCTTTTAAGCAGGCAATATGTTGCCTGTGATTTATGTCTGTTGTCTCAGTTGAAGTCGGCTTTTCATGTTCTGCAATTTGGCAAACAGACTGGTTAGTCTCTCATCGAGAGAGGGCAGCCCGGCTTTCGTTAATTTACTTTATTTATTTAATTCCCTATTGAGTGAACCTCCAAGCACCATGGTTTTTATACCTTCATTTGTTTAACCACGATTAATTTAAAAGGTCCCATTATATTGTAAGACTAAACCTACATCAGTATTTATAGAAAAAGGTGCGGTACGATCGGAGGATTGGTGCGTTTGGCCAATAAGTTCAAATCACAGTAAACAAGTTTTAGTTTATTCTAATTTCTATTAATAATGAATAATAAATTGAACTTAATAAAAATTCATTCGATAAAATAATTTGTAAAACTTAATATAGCGTAAATTGGAATGTTTTCTTTGTAAAATTAAAAATAAGGTATTTAATTAATAACTATTGTAACTATAGTGAAAAAATAGGGTGGTTTGCATCAATATTAGACGTAACTGGTTATGACTGTACCACCTCAGTCAACCGTGACCATGGGACCTGTAAAGGGCCCGAAACGTCGGTTTGTTTGAAAAAACAAATATACGCGATTTAAATCCGGAAAAATAGTGTCATTTCCTATGTGTAACAATCGCGAAAACCTAAGAACTCGATACACAGTAAACAAATTAATTATTCTCTCTGAAGTGAGGCAGTAACAAACAACATAGGATTAAAACACCAGTTTAATTTATAGGAGAAAGTTTTACGATAATGCAGCGAAATCAAATGTTCAGCTAGCGGGGGCGGTATCTTCAATAAAGTAGGTGATATTTTGATTGTGTTAGGGTGGCTGGAGATCTTCACCAACGCGAAGCTTGTCCCGGATTCGCCCTTATACGCATAATCTCTAGTCGCTGGGCCTTTTTCGTAAATGGTATAGATTATATATGTGTTGTATATCCACATACAAACACGGTTCAGAAGAAAAAGTAAACGAACGTTGAGTATGGTCGCGTGTTTTTCCTAAATACTTTTCAAGGGGTGCAGTTTATAATCCACATTGCCCTATTAGAAACGATAATGTATATATGTAATGTATACATTGTATTGCTCTGCCAAAGACGTGTTTCTAGTTCCTCTGATACCCAAGTCCCGTGGTTGCGAACAACACAACAGAAGGTACCTCGCTGGGGGCTCGCCTCCACGGGCCGGCGCGCGCTGGATCGATGCCTCCAAGGCCACGGCCGGGCCGCATCGATTTTGTATAAATAGCCTCAGCACATCCCCCCGCGCGACACCTACCCGTCCTCACCACTGGGGGGACCAAGGGGTGCCACCTTGATATAACACGCCCCTTTTCCATAGGGCTACCGCTAGCAGAGCTCTCTGCCTTACATTGGCCGAGGCGGTGAAGGTTCCTCGAAAAACATTCCATGATCGACTAGGCAATTTCGCTTTAACAGTAAGCTTTGAAGTACAGAATTATTTTCAACCCCGTTCGTAAGAACGACGTACGATGAAACTGCTTTGGAAATTGATTGAACCAAGTGTTATTCAAATTTCAACTAACGAATAACCACACAGGTCCTTTACTGTCGTTCTCCGACCACGTCCGTCCGAAACTCGACCAAATGAAAAGACATATGGTGCGAATGAAGCTTCATACTAGACATTTCTCTCTTAATTTGGTCGAGTAGTCGGATGGAGAACGAGTAGACCCCCAGATCAAAGCATGCGTGTTCAAGATACATTAACGTTGATCCATAGTGTTATTACGACACATGGGTCTCCTACTTCGTATCGCACCAAAGAACACATTTGTTTTAACTACTTATTGAGTATTTAGTTGAACCTATTTTTTACCTTTGTTTGTTATAATTTTAGTCAGTATCTAAGTTAAATTTGTTTTCTGTGTGCATAGAAATAATAGTAACACATAACCTACGATAATGTTTCTTACCGAAACATTTCCAACAGAAAAATCCTTCAAACATGTAATAAACTCCAGCCAATGGTTATATCATGATTCTTACATAGTAATTGTTATGCAGCTGAGCACCGAGTGGTGAGTGCCGCAGCCCTGCTCCTCCCGCGTTCGATGCCCTCTCACTCCTCTCTCGTCCACGTGTACCCCTTTGTCATAATCACTGTCACTTGTTTTGCTTCGCTGTTGTTCGTTTTAATATTATGTATATTTTTGTTCCACGAATAATAGTAACAATCTATTTATTTGCTTAATACCTACATGGTATAATAGAACATGTGTCAATAACATGTTTCACAATGTTGAACAGCATGTAGAGGTCTGGTTATAATAATTCATTACTACAACAACAGTAATGTCACAAGTTACAATTTGACATGCTAAATATGTCAACTTTGTATGTTTCTACGTTTAGAGCCCATAAAGGATGTATTATCGGAAGATTTCCATATGGCGAGCAAACAATCTTGCTGCAGGCTTTAGTAAATTCTATTCAGTAATGGGTTCAACACTAATAGATTGAAGCACAACGGAGATTCATTGTAGTTTTACTTTCGACTTTTTTCGTATGGGTAAAAAGAACCTGCTAATGTGGTCAATCAAACTCAAATTAGATAGTACATTGTAAACCATTTATTCACCACAAAAAAAAAAAGTAAACGTAATTAATTTAACAATATAAAAACTTACAATTAGTGTGCGGCACACGGTGTAGAGCACATGTGCACGCACAGTACTGATTTTTGTAGATAAGCAGATAGGTACGTAAAACACGCGCACAAAAACATAAACCAAAATTAAAAGTTGTCTAATTCACACATCGACTGCGGAAATTTGAAATTTCGTAAGGAATATTTTATTGTAACGGAAAATATCCCTTGCTACAAAATGTCGCTTACGACATTTCGAAGTTCGATACATCGACGAAATTACTACCCTTATGTCGACGGTGTAAATTTGAAATGTCTTATGAGACATTTTGTCGTAAAGTCATTTTCCCTTACGTCAAAATGACCCTTATGACATTTCAAATTTCCACCATCGACATGGAACAACTGACTATACATAATGATTATGACATATCGTGAATTTAGTAGCAATAGAGCTCCTTGTGGAAGAGTTCGTCGAAGTACCTTACCTATTACAGCCGCCAAGCAGTAATGTGAGCATTACTGTGTTCCGGTTTTGAAGGGTAAGGGTGGTGGTGAAACTACAGGCACATGGGACTTGTCAACTTATCTCAAATCTTTGCGATTGAATGCTCTGAGTGGCACTCCAAACGCTATTAACGGGCGTGCCGCTTACCACACGCGACTTGTTCAGCCTGTCACTTGCCATCATGAAAAAGAAAACACATAAACACATTTACCCTAAAACGTGGATTCATAACAAAAATTTATTCAAACATCGGTTCTAAACTCAAAATCGCAAAGCAACAGTGAATAGGCATTTTTTAGACAAACGCGTAACACCATCGGTTTCATCGTCGCTTAACATTATGCGAGATTGGACAAGCGTGTGTCTG